TTATTATCATTATTATTACCAAACTCTTCAAAAATAAATTTTTAAAATTCTAAAATGTTATTATAGTTATTATTATTACTATTTAAAATTTTAATATCAATTTTATTATTGTATTCTCCCAACAATTACTACAGCAATTAATTCATTGCTATCATTGAACAAAAAAAGTGTGATAATATCACTTTTCTCTTATCACTGCAATTTTCTAATATTTCATTTACATCAAACAAAAATTAATTAACCTAATTAAATCAATTTTAAACAATGTACAGATGAAATGCCAACAAATCACGATGCCAGGATATGTCATTTTTATTGCAATTATACAGCGGAAAAATCGAATCATCGTTTTTGGTTTGTATCTTTCAGCGATTTAAAAAAAAAAGATATGCGAAACGTGTAGAAACACGTGTAGAAATATATCATGACGTGAAAATTACGTGGACTTCTTCAATCCTGCTAATATAATGCAATATCACTTAACTAATACTCCACATCATGTTGTATTCGAATTTTTATTTGCTTCTTAATTAATTAATTGCTTTTTTTTTTGTGATTATAAAGTTAACAACGTGTGTGACGTAAAAATTGCGTGAATAATTTATATTTCAGGTTTCGTTTTTTTCTTTCACATTTTTTTTTCAAAAGGAAAAGAAAAAAAACTTTAAAATATCCAATTTTTCATTTTTGAAACAAAATTTTCTCAGCAAATTTTAAAATGAATATAAAAAGCGGAAAACAAAAATAACTAAGAAAATTTAATTCGTTATGACTTTTTCTTTTTAATTTTGAAATGATAATTTTAATTAAATTTGCATATAATATGGGTAAATTAACCGACTAATACTATTTTTGGGTAATTGACCGGCTAATATAATTTTATATTATTTACCAAATAAATTTTTTTACCAAACTAAATAAATTTAGCATTTTTTTTAAAAATTTTATTATCAATAAATATTTTTTTTATCATTTATTTGATTTTTCATTCGTCTTTTTTATTTTTACTATTAAATTATTAAATTGTTATTATTTCTTTTCCATTTGTGAAATATTCTTTTTTATATAAATTAAAAAAAAAAATTTAAAAGAAAAAGAAAAAAATAGTTTCATTTATTTATTTTTTACATTTTTTTTTGAAATATTTCATGTCAAAATTCATTTTACTATTGAAATATTTACATTGATGATTCATTTACATAATAATTCATTAAAAAAAAAATTTTTTTTTCTTTTTTTTTTGAAAATAAAGCGATAATGGTTGGATTATTTAATTGTTTACATATTAAAACTTGCAATTATTATATAATTTGATGGTTTATAAATTTTAACATTGGCAATTTTTTTTTTTTTTTTTGAAATCAATAATTTTAAAATTAAAATTTGAAAAATTTTTCATTCAAAAACATACAATGAATTGTATTTTTTTTTCTGTTTTTTTTTTGATAACTAACAATTTTATAAATAAAAAATGATTTTAAATTTAAAATTGAAATAATTTCAGGAAGTCCAGCAAATAAAGCAGGTCTTCAAATTGGTGATCGTATCATTGAAATAAATGGTTACTCAACTGAGGGAAAAAATTATGCATACATTATTGAACTTATCAATCAGGTGTGTCAATTAAATTTTTCAAACTTCAAAATAATCTTTTTTTTTTTAAATATTTTTATAAAAAACTTTTTTTTTCACTTTTAGTTTATTTATAAATTATATTTCATTTTCTCTATTTAAATTTTTTTTTAATTTTAAAATTAAAAATATTTCATTTGTTATAATCATTTCGAATGAAAAACTATATAGATTTTTGCAACTAGTAATGAAAAGGAAAAAGAAAAGAATTTAAATGTAAAAAAGAATTAATTAGATAAGTTCAAATGTGATAAAAATTAATTAATTGATAACCTGCAAGCTGATAATTGATAATTATACCTATTTCATCTTATCATCAATTTATTATATAATAAAAGAAAAAAAAAGATTTCACAGATAATATTAAATTAAAATGTGAAAAATTGTGAAAATTTTTTTAAAAAAAAAAGAAAAGAAAAACAAAGACGAAATTTTGGATAAAATAATTTCACATATTTTTTTTATTATTATTATTATTAATTTATAACAAATGATTAAATTTAGTTGAAATAAATCGATTCTGATACTATGTAATTTGCTGCGATGCGACACATTGAATTCAATATAATCAGTTATAGTACAAAATAATTACCTGAGTATTACCTGAATATTACCCGAATATTACCCGAATATAGCATATAGTGAAACTACTACTCATAATCCTTTCCATTTTATGAAAGGTCATATCATATCATCCCCTTTTTCATTTATTCAATTTGTTTACATTCATTTCTTGCCTGCAAACTATTTATCCATTAATCTATACAATTTACTACTCTTATTTTATAAGTATAAAAGTTTGGAATTTATAAGTAAATGTTTGCAATAAGTATAAAGTATAAAAGTTATAAATAAAAGTTTACAATAAGCATATAAATAAAAGTTAGTGAATATAAAAGTATAAAGTTTTTAAGTAAAAGTTTGCAATGAGTATAAAATTATAAAATTTGTAAGTGAAATTTATAAGTAAAAGTAAAGTTTTAAGTAGAATGAGTATATAATCAAAATTTGTAAGTAAAATTTAGTGAGTATGAAAGGAAAATTTTTAAGTAAAAGTTTGCAATGAGTATAAAATCAAAATTTGCAAGTAAAAGTTAGTAAGTATGAAAAAATAGAGTTTATGAGTAAAGTTTGCAATAAGTATAAATGTAAAGTTTATAAATAAAAGTTTGCATGGAGTATAGGATTATAAAATTTGTGAGTAAAAGTTTACAACAAATATACAATTTACAAGTAAAAATTTATAATAATCACAAATTTATGAAAATTATAGGTAAAAGTTTATAAAAGTATAAAGTTTATAAGTAAAAGTTTAAATTGCAATGATGATTAGTAATTTTATTAATTTGTATTTGTCATATTCAATTACCATTTGTTGACAAACAATTTGTTTACAAATATTAATTACCAATATATTTTGTATGATTATTCTATACCAGAAATATTGTTAACTTTGTCATATTTACATTTAATTGTTGCATTCCATTCATTTTCACTTTTAATATTTAATATTTTTTTTAATTATAAATTTGTTTCCTAATCAAATATTATTCAGAAATTAATTTCGTTGTAACAAAAATTAATTTTATTATACAAACATTAATTTCATTACTGAAATACAAAAATAAATTTTCAAAAGTTAATTTTATTATAACAAACAAAATATTATTCAAAAGTTAATTATAGGAAAACAAATTTCATTATAAAAAAAAAAAAAAAATTAGAAAATCAAATCAAATATTATTCAAAAAATTAATTTCATCTTAAAAAAAATCAAAAAGTAGAAAGAGAGAGAGAGAGAGAGAAAGAGAAAAAAGAGTGTAAATAAATAAATGAATAACATTATTTGGCCAAAGAATTTTTTAAAAAAAAAATGAAAAATAATCAATTATCGATTAAATTAAAAAAAAATTTTTTTAAATATTTTAACAATATTTTATTACAGTAATTATTTTTGCTAATATATTTTTTATATCATTTCATTCTATTATTTATATGTTTTTATGATTTTAAATTTTTGATTTTTTATTTAAATTTCGTTTTTCTTTTTTTTTCTATCTAAAATACAATAAATTATTGATTTATTGTAAAATTTTGTTGCATTTTTTTTTTTGCTTTTCTTTTTGTTATTATTTTTCCTTTTCTCTTTTTTAAAACATTTTCAATTATCACTGAAAAAACTAATTTAAAAAAAAAATGAAATAAAAGTTTGAAATGATTATTTATTTCCTTTTTGTTTTTGTTTTCAACTTAATTATAACAAATTTTTCGCTTACTTTTCTTTTTATTAAATTATAACTTATTAAATAAAATTAAAAAAAAATTTGCATACATAATTTAAATTACTTTTAAAAAAATTAAATTGAACTGTTAATAGATGTGATAAAGTGAGAAAAAAATGGAAATAAGAGAGAGAAAGAGAGAGAGGAAGAGAAATTGTCAAAAATGAATTTTTCTATCATAAAAAAAAATAAATTATTTTTTTAAAAATAATTTCTATTAAAAAAAAAAAAAAAAACAATGAATTCTTTAAAAAGTTTTAAAAATAATTAAATTTTTCTTTATTACCTATTTATTCACTAATTTAGCGAACCGCTCAATGCATTTATTAAGGATTTACAAAGTATTTTTAAATTGAACTGCTAAAAACAAACAAACAAACAAGCAAATTAACAAAAAACAAATCTTTGAGATTATTAATTGAAAAGTAATACTTTTTCAATTAATTAATTAATAAATAAATTATTCATTGTTAATACAATCTTTTCAATAAAAAAAAAAAAAAAACGATTTGAATTATTTATTTTTATTCATTAAAGTTATATAACTTTGCATAATTTTAATTTTTCAGTTGTTTATTTGTTTGTTTATTTGTTTTTGTTTTATTCTTTTTCATTCAATAATTTCACCTTGTAATCATTTTTGTTTATATATATATATAATTTACTTCTTTTCTTTTTCATTCATTTATTTTCTTACCTTTCCTTAATAGATCAATCATTTATTGATTTAAAATCATAACATTAATAGATCAATCATTTATTGATTTAAAACGATAACATCAATAGATCAATCATTTATTGGTTTAAAATCATAACATTTCCTTGCAATAAACTAATTTATTGTAAAAAAATATAAGCATACGATGGCTTATTTATTATACGTTACAATTTAATATTTCACGTAAGTAATTTGTAGTATTTGACGTATTTTTATAGACAAAAACGTTATGAATAGCAATTATAACTTTAATTAATTACATTAATAACAATAAACGTTTTCATTTCAAATTAAAAAAGAAAAAATTTATTCAACTACTAAATAAATTTTAAGTATTTCACTAAGAAAATTCATTTCCTATCATTTTGATGTCACTAACACGCGTGGAACTTTCAACAGCACTGGAAATTCAAGTACCATTAGCGATTAATGCAGAAGAAATTAGATGTAGCAGTGATATGCATGAGAATGAGTCATGCACCTGTAATTTAATTCAAAATGAGATAGTACTCTTCAATGAATTTAATGGTACTAAGGTAAATTATCATTTAATCTTATCTTTTTTGTTTAAATTTTAATTCTTTTCTTTTCTTTTCAATTTTTTAATTATTTTTTGAATTTCTTTTTTTCTCATCAATTAAATAGGCAATGTACCTTTAAATTAATTCAAAATGAGATATTACTGTTTAATGAATATAATAGTATTAAGGTAATTTATAATTTAATTTTACTTTTTCCTTTCGCTTTTTTTTTTTAAATTTCGATTCTATAATATTAATATTAATTTAATAAAGCAAATTCATTTCTAAGAAAAAAAAAGGTTTAAATTTTGCTTTTTTTGCACGCCTAATTTTTTTTTAAGTTTTTTTTTTTTGTGTATCTAATTTGTATAAAAATATTATTAAAATTTATAATACTTTATATATGCAACAAAAATTTTAATATTATATTATTTCTTCACACTTTAAATAATTCTTTAAAAAAATTTTGAACAATTTTTTTTTTTTTGGTAATAATAATAAAAAAATTTTTAGTTTTTTTAAAATTGATTTTGTTTTTTTTTGTTGTTGACTATGATATTTCAAAAAGAAGTAAAATTTATGCGAAGAGATTATTTTTATTAAACAATTATTAAATAATCATTTTTTCAATTTTCATTATTTGTTTACTTTATTTTTTTGCTTTGAAAGACTATTTCACAAATTTGACTTTTTTTCTTTTTCTTTTTTTTTTTGCTTAAATATTTTTAATAATAAAAACTTTTTAACATTTAAAATATTTTACTTTACATATCACTGCAACACAATTATCTGTTAATTAAATTACAAAAAATTTCTAATTTCTGTAATTTAATTAATCATTTCTACTTCTTCCAACAATTCATTTTATTTTTATTTTTAATCCTTCAATTCTATTTTCATAAATTTATTTTTTGTTTACTTTTTTAATTTCTATCAAATTATTTATTTCTAATATTAATCTAGCAAATTATAGACCTAATATTAATTTCACTTAAAAATATCAATCTTTTATGAAAAATTATATTTCCGATAACTTTTGCAAAAAGCAAAAAAAATTTTTTAATTTTTCAAAATTAAATTAATTCAAAATTATAGTGTGTGAAATTTCATTAAAATGCTTTCTGCAATTTAAAAAGAAAAACGTTCTTTTAATGATATATTTTTCTCCAAGGTCATTTTTAGAGTGCAAAAAGCTTGCGGCGTTTTTTTTTTTTTTTTTAAAAAAAAAAAAAGTGAAATTGTTCCATTGATGGTTTGTCATGCTTTTTCGATCTTTTCTCTTTAAATTTATTTATTTATTTTTTTTTTTTTTTTTTGTAAAATAAAATTTAATAGAATGGAAATTATTAATTCATGTTTACATGTTAAATCAACAATATTTATTTGCATTTCATTTCTTTCTTTTTTTTTTAAAAAAAAAAAGAAGGAATTTAAATTTGCTTTTTTTTGTTGTTGTTTGTTTGTTTTTTCCTTAAATGTATTTCTTTAAATGTTTGAAAAGAAATTTTTTTTTAAAAAAAAAAGAAACGCAAAAATTTCTTTTAAAATTTAAGATTTTTCAAATCCTTTCTTGTGTTTAAAAGGAATAAATTTTCTTTTTTTTTAGAAAAAAAGAAAAGAAATGAAAATTTTGTTTAAAATTTTAAATTTGCATTTTTCTTTTCCCTTTTTTTCTTAAATTTAAAATCAATGTTTCTTCATTCTTACAAATTGATTTTCGGCTAAAATTTGCTTTCATTATTTTGCATTAAAATTTATTAATTGAACTATGTGTGTGTAATGTTTCTAAACAATTTAAAAAAAAAAAAACATAGATAATTTAAAATTAAATATATTTTTAAAAATTATAGATGAACCTAAGAAATAAAATTTCATTCGAAAAAAAAATTTCAATTTATGAATTTTTATAAAGAAACAAATTTCTTCATCTTTCTCTTTCATTTTCATATTAATTATATTGAAATTTGATTAAAATTATTTCTTTATTTCATTTCTTATAAAAAATTATTGCGAATTTCAAAAAGAATTCATTAAAATTTGATTATTAAATATTTTTGAAATTAACTCGCATTATCATAATTTCACAAAATTCTTTTCATTGAAATTATTTGAAAAATGCCAAATAGATTATTGTAAAATTTTGATAAATTAAAAAAAAAAATAATTTCCACTTTTGATAATTTTATTTTTATTTCATTCATTTATTAGATAATTCAATTTTAATTATCTTCATTCTTAACATGATTTCTTACTTCCTGTAATTTAATTTCTTTTTTATCGCCCAAAATTTTATCACAAAATTATTTTTTTTTTACTTTCAATAATTTGTGAAAAACAAATTTTTAAAAAAATCAAATTTAAAAAAAAAATAAAAATTTCATTCAAATTGCTTACATATTGTAAGCTTTATTTTAAAATGAATTAATCATTAAATCATTTCGAGCATTAATTTATTCTATTATATAACAATTTCTGGCATTCATTTTATGCTACAAAATTGTCATTTTTGTTTATTTTTTCTTTTCAAAATGAAATTTGAAAATAGCATTATAAAATAAAAATGCTTTTTATTTGAAATATTATTGCTAATTAAATTTTAAAATGTTTCTACAAAATTAGGACAAAAAAAAAAGAACCAATTAAATGCTCTGATTAAAATTTCATACAAATTTAATTTTTTTACAGTGTATCAAATCACGTGTAATTCAATTACGTGTTCGACGCAAACAAGAAGATTCGAATGAAGGTAAAAAGCTAAATTTTACAAAAAAAAAGAACAAAAAAACAAATTTCAAATTCAAAAGCTATCAAAAAAATTAGTTACGTTCAATTAATTAAAAAAAAAATTATATAAAAAAAAGTTTTTAATTTATTCATTTCATATTGCTATAAGAATAATACTCAAAAATGATAAATTTAAATTTAAAATTGCACATTGATATATTTAAGTTTAAAATTGTAGATTGACATTGATATATTAAATCACATCAATATATTAAAATTTAATTAAAATTATTTTTTTTTATTTAATATATTTGTTTATATTTAATTTCATATATTTAATATAATTGATTTTAAAATTTTGATGATTTTATTTTTTTTTTTTGCTAATTAAAAAGAAGAAAGAAAATGAGAATTCTTTTTATCAAATTTTGCTTTTCTCGAAAACTTTTACTGCAAATTTCTTTTCGGCTGCCTATTTCCTAAATTAATCATTCAAATTTTTTTTTTTTTGTTTGTTCTTTTAGATTCAAAAAAAAAGTTTAAAAAAAGTAGAAGAAAAATGTGAATTTTTCTTTAAATACTTGGAATTTTTATTTCTTTATAAATAAAAAGTAAACAAAAAAAAAAAAATGATATAGAATCAAAAACCAAAATAAACTTAATTTTATGAATTGTGTAAACAAAAAAAATTTTTTTTTCAAAATTAGTTAGAATTTAAAAAAAAAAAATGAATTTATTATTTTATTAAATTAACAGAAATTGGCTATTATATATATATATTATTTATTCATTATAATTTCAATTATTAATTCCTAATTTTTTTCTCAAAAAAATTCAATTAAAATTAGGTTTATTCTTTTAACTATTAATCATTAATAGATTTTAATTGTATTTTTTTCTAAAAAAAATTATAATTAAATATTCTTATATAATAAAAAGTATTCTTAGATAATAAATCAAATTTATACAATAATTTAAAAATTTGAAATAAAATTATTAAAAAAAAAAAAGAAAGAAAAATAATAAATGAATTATTAGTATTTTAAAATTAATATTATAATTTGATGTGATTGTTGCGAAATATTCAATCCTTTCATTTTATTCCCTAAAATTAAAAAAAAAAAAAAAAAAACTAGTTATTATCACAGATAGGTATCATCGAAAATTGTCAACCTATGTCCTCTTTTTTTTTATTATTATTGATACCTTTTCTTCCTTTTCTCATCTTTTACGCTCATCGTTATTTCATATTTATCAGTGCAATTCAACATTTCAATATTATAATAAATAAATTCTATTTTACTTTTCTTTTCTTTTTAACGTAGAACAAAAATTTTTAAATAATTATATATAATTAATTTAAACAAATTTAAATAATTTAAGTAATTGCATTTCCTATTTAATAGTTATTATTATTACTTTTGCATAAATTATAAAAGTACTTTATTTATTATATAAAATATATAAGTTAAAAGATCACATAATTTTTTTTTTTTTAACTAGAACAAAAACTTTTAATTAATTATATATAAATAATTTAAACAAATTTAAATAATCTAAGTAATTTTATTTTCTATTAAATATTTATTATTATTACTTCTGCATAAATTGTGTAAGTATTCATTAAAAAAATACATAATATCTTTGCAAGTCGAACAAAAACTTTTAATTAATTATAATTAATTATATGTAAATAATTTAAACAAATTAATTTAATTAATTATATGTAAATAATTTAAACAAATTTAAATAATCTAAGTAATTTTATTTTCTATTAAATATTTATTATTATTACTTTTGCATGAATTATATAAGTACTTTATTTATTATATAAAGTATATCAGTTAAAAGATTACATAATTTCTTTGTAAGTCGAACAAAAATTTTTAAATAATTACGTATAAATAATCTAAATAAATTTAAATAATTTAAGTAATTGCATTTTCTATTAAATGTTTATTATTACTACTTTTGCATAGATTATATAAATACTCGTTAAAAGATTACATAAAATGTTCACTTCAAATTTTAATCTTTTGTTTGTTTGTTTTTTTTTCTTTTTGATAATAATTATTAAATTAAAAAAAAAAACTGAAAATTTCGGTATTATTTGATGTTTAAAATTTGAAAATTTTAATATCTTATGCATTTAATTATTTTGCTGAATAAAAAAAAATATAAATAATTTCAGATATATTTTAAAAAAAAGTATTAAAATGAGTAATTGTTTAGAAAAAAGTAATTGTTTACAAATTTTGTTAATTTAATTAATTTATTATTTACTAATTTTATTTAAATATATTACAGAGAATTCATTAATTAATTCAAAAATTGCAATTTCGGACGCTTTTCTTGCGTCAACCGATAAACAACAAACAAATGCAATTACTGATACACTAAAAAGGTTTTCAATTTTAATTTTTTTTATTATTTAATTCTTTTTTTTTTCTTTGTTTCCTTTTATTTCTAAAATATAATTTCATTTAAAGTTTTTTCTTTTAAAAAAAAAAAGAAAAAATAATTGATAAAATATGCAGTAATGAAGAATTGTTGGTATAATTATTGAAATAAAATGACATATTTAAATTTACAAATTTTTAGTGCTCCTTTTTTTTTCTTTAATGCTAATAAAAGATCGTTAAAATTTATAATATTTTTAAATTTATTGAAAAAAAAAAAGGAAGGAAAGAATCGTTTATGTTTATATTATCATTCATTTTTCTTTCTTTTCTTTTAATTAATTCTTTTATTCTTCATTTTAAACTTTTAAATTTTAATGAGAAAAATTTTGATGAATTATTGAAATTTGAAATATTATTCAAATCATATTATTATCATCAACAAAGTTATACATAATTTAATTTTGGTTATTGATTAACTTTTATTATATATATTGATTGATTGATTGAATATCAATAAATTGATTAACTTTTAGTAACAGTGTATGTTTTACTAATTCAATTAATTAATTCCTACTATATTAATTATCTCAAGATTTGTAATATTACATTGATAAAATTTAGTAAATTAATTGATTTGATAAAAAATCAATTTGAAAATTTATAAAACTAAAACAAGTACGTTTATCCATTTTTTATCAATTCTTATCAGTTCAATCAATTTTTTATGTATAATTTATAACTGTTTCAATAATAACATCAACAAATATTTGATAAAATTCCAGAATTTTCTTCGTCATCAAAGTTAATGCAGTGATCATTGTAACAATAATAGTAATAATAAAGTTGTAATAATAGTGATAATAGTATTAATCGTAGTGATAACAGTGATAATAATAATAGAAATAATACACATTAAATAATAATAGTAATTAAATGATAATACTACCACTGAAACAAGCATGTTTTCCTAATAATTCAATTAATTATTATTATTATTACTATCACCATTTTATTAATTTTTTTTAAAATTTTTCTTGTCTGCTAATAATAATATCGATAATAATAATAGTAATAAAAAAAATACCAATGACTAATAATTAACAATGAATAATATTGGTCATAGTAACAACAATAATGATAATAATAATAAATAATAAGCAGTGAAAATAATAATAATGAATAACAAATATTATTGATCATAGTAATAACAATAATAATTATGATATTAATAATAATAACAATAATAATAATAAATAATAGGCAAATAATGAATAATAATGAATAACAAATATTATTGATCATAATAATAACAATAGTAATAATGTCAATCTTTATATAATATCACATAACTGACAGTGTTAGTTGATAACTGGTGATATCATAGTGATAATATCTTGCATATAATAGTGATAATATCTTATATATAACGAAAATAATATATATAATATTGATAACATCTTACATATAATATGATATTATCTGATTTTCAAAATGATTTTTATTTTTTTAAAAAATTTTTCATTTTACTTTTTATCATTCTAAATTTTTTGTCGTATAAATTTAATTTTACGATACATTCGACTCGTCGTAAAATTCCTCAATGATTCATTTTATCAGGAATTACCCAGGAATTCACATTTATGATATGGAAATGTTGGCCGATGGTTCATTGAAAACAGATTCAGAAACAAATGCACAAAATGATGTAAAAATTTAAACTTTAATTTTTTCTCTTTTGTTTTTTCAATTTTTTTTTGCTTTTCATATTTTCATATAAATTTTGAATTTGAATTTATTTTGATCACTTTTAGATAATCAAGTTAAATTATAAAAAAAAAATTTGCATTTGAATGTTATAATGGAAAAATTAAAATGTATTATTTGAAAAATGATAATAAGTTAAGATTTTAAAAAAAATAATACATCTCTCCCTCTCTCTCTCTCTCTTTCTCTCTCTCTCTCTCTCTGTATTTCCTTTATGTGAATTTTTGAATGTTTGAATACTATTTCAAACAATAACTAATATTTGATAACATCTGATATGATATGCAAAGATTACTTACTTTGATTAGGATATTTCTTACTTTATCACAGATTTCAATATAATATCCATTTCAAAGTTTACTTTTAAAATTTTTAATAATTTATGAATTTTTTTTTCTTTTTAAATTACCTAATATCATATTGCTTAATAACTATCATAATTTTTAAACATTATTTTAGTAATTTTATTAATAGTTAAGAAATATATGCTAGAAATGAATTTTAGTCAAAAATAAAATTTTCAACCTATTATTTTATCACTTTTTTTTTATGCTTGATAAGATATTCATTTAATTAGTGAGTTAAAGTTTTTGATTTTAAATAATTTCACTTTTTTTTTCAATTATTTTTTTTTTTGTTTTTCCAGTTTGGAAATGATCAAATATGGGATCGAATATCAAATAGTACCGTAAATGATGATAACGTAACAACGTGTACTGAAAATAAGGATGAGAATGAACGATTAAAAAGTTACGAGAATGAATTACGTAAACGACGTGAACTTAATGAATATCGAGAAAAAGAAAATACATTTCTTAGGTTTTTTTTTTGAAATTGTATTTTTAATATTTTTAATTTATTATCGATTAGCTTAATTATTCTTTTTTTTTTGCCCTAATCTACGATATGAGATTTTAGTATATGTCATTTTGCTACTCATTCAATTACGAGAATAAATCTTTTATCTTTGGTTGATTTTTTTTCTCAATTTATTAATTTCTTAATTACAATAAAAATTGATAATAAATAATATTAATATAATAAGTAGTTAAAAATAAATAATAATAAAATCCATAATAAATACATAAATTGGAAAGCTAATAATTAAATAAGTATTAAAATAAATAAAAATAATAATAATAAAATCCATACTACATCAATTTATCAATTTGAAAAGCTAATAATTAAATAAGTAATAAATAAATGATAAAATAAATAAATTATAAATAATAATAATAAAATCCATAGCTAATAATTAAATAAATAATAAACAATAATAAAATTCATAACATATACATCAATTTGCAAAGCTAATAATTAAATAAATAACAAATAACAATAATAAAATCCATAATATATACAACAATTTGGAAAGCCAATAATTAAATAAATAATAAATAAACAATAGAATAAATAAATAATAAATAATAATAACAAAATCCATAATATATACAACAATTTGGAAAGCCAATAATTAAATAAATAATAAATAAACAATAGAATAAATAAATAATAAATAATAATAACAAAATCCATAATATATACAACAATTTGAAAAGCTAACAGAAAATGGCGGGGAAAAATGAATGACAAAAACAGGTGGGAAATGGCGGGTAAAAGTGTGGGATGAGAAAAGGTAAAGCATGAAAGTACTGAATGGTAATTCTTATGAAATGTTCAATTATTTGCTTTTCAGGGAATCATTGCGAGATTCTAAAAAATTATTATCACTTGAAAAGAATAAAACTGTCGAAAAGAAAGAAACAAAAGAAGGAATAGAATTAACTAATGGTACTCAATCAAATGGTACTATAACTGAAATTTGTTATGCTAATAATGCATATGTAGCTGGCGATACATTTGATAATAATGAATCAATTCGTAAGTGTAAACAATTTTTTAATTTTAATTTTTTATATTTAATTTCACTCATAAACAATTTTCTTTTTAAAACAAAAACTTTAATTATGTGAAAATAATTTTTATATTTATTTTAAATTATTATAATTTTCTTTTTTTTTTAGCACTTGAACAAGTAATGTTATCAATGAATCGCGTAGCGGAACACTTAGAGAAACAAGAAGGACGTGAAGACGAGTCAAAGTTATTACGTGAGTTTTTCACGCAACAACCTATCCAACAAGCAATCAAAAGTAATAGTATCAGTCATATGAATGCTAAGGTATCATTTTTTTTTTGTAAAATATTTTTAATTTATATTATTTTATTTTAATATTTTATTATATGATAGTTTATTTTATTTCATTTTTTTTTTTTTAATTATCTAAATTATAATATTGTATCATTTATCGTTTTTTATTATTATATATGAAATTTTATCAAAATTTTTCATTTTTATCAAACAACAAAAAAAAAATTTCATCCTTATTATCAAAGAAAAATTAATATTTTATATTAGAAAAAATTATCAGTAAATTAATCAATTGCAAATGTTTTTTATTTTTTTTATAAAAAAAAAATTCAAAAGGAATGTGCATGAATCCATTTTTTTTTTGCTTTACAAATTTGAAATTTATGTTGAAACTTTAATTTTAAGAAAATAAAATACGTAACATAATAAATTGCTAACATTTATCAGTTATATATTTTAGATATAATTGTGATAATTGTTATCACTTGAACATTTATTTATTTTTTTTTTTTATAGGCGATAAAAGCAAGGAAGAAAATGCAAGCAAATAAAATATGATTTTATGAGATAATTTTTTAAAAAAAAAAAAATTAAATATCATTTTAGTATTATCAATTTCAGCTATACATTCCATTGCTGGAAGGCATTTTTTTTTTCTTTTTTATCTCATTTATTTTCTTTTTTTGTAAAAAATTATTTTTATTAAAATTCTTTTTGTGTTTTTTTTGTTTTTTCGAGTTGACTAATTAATTAAATTAATTAGTCAATGTTTCCCAATAATTATTAATACAAAATATTATCCATTTTTAGACTACAGAACCTAAACCTACTACATCAACTGATTTATCATCTGTTATCACTGATTACAACGACTCTAAAATGCTCCCAGTAACACGAATTCAGGGTGATTTGAAAATTGTTAAAGTTAACAAATGCAATGATACATATCTCGTTAGTATTTCATTTCTTTTTACCTCTCTCTCTCCCTCTCTCCCTCTCTCTCTGTCTCTTATAAAGTTTTATTTTTCTTTTTACAAAAAAAAAAATTGAAATAATAAATTGAGTTAGAAATAATTCTTATCATACACGGATAATTTTTATGTTTGTATAAAAAGAATAAGCAAAAGTTATTAATCTAAATTTAATTTTTATTTGAATAATTTTATAATTAATTTGTAATATATATGTAATGAACATGATTATAATATTTTTTTTTAATCTTTTTAAGCTTATTTTTTTTCAAATAACTTATAATTAATTTAGAATGAATATAATTTTAATAGTTTTTTTTTTTTTTTTTTAATAAATAATTTTATCAAAATAATAAATATACAATTTTATTTTATGCTGCAATTATCATTTAAATATTTGTTGCATCATAATTATATAATTATATATTTTTCTAAAAAAAATTGCAAATATATAAAATTTTGATTAAGAAAGATTATAACAAAAAATTTTATATAATTAAATTATAATATAATAAAATTCTAATTAACGTAATAAAATTTCATTTTTTTTTTTTTTTGATATAATTGTATTTAATATAATAAAATTTCATTTCTTATTTTATAGGGTGCAACAATACGTAATGAAGGTGAAAAAGTAATTGTCGGACGTGTAATACGTGGTGGTATAGCGGAAAAATTAGATTTACTTAGAGAAGGCGATGAAATTATTGAAGCTAATGGAAATGATTTACGTGGTAAAAATGTCACCGAAGTTTGTGAAATTTTGGTAAATAATTAATTGCAAATATTGCATAATAATTTTAATTAAATAAGAAATTGATAAAATGGTTTTTTTTTTAAGAAAAAATAAGAAAATGATAAAAATTAAAAAAAAAAAATAATCATAAGCAAAAGCTATATATGATAGCAAAAAATAAATAAATAAATAAAATGAAATAATTGAAATATTAATTTGCCGTTTATTTTTAAAATTCAAATTCAAAGTTTTATCGTTTTTTTTTTTCTTGATGGAATAAATTTTATTCAAAATAATGTTAATCAAATTTTGAGAGATCAATAACTGGTGAATTATCACTTGTGATAGCACCATTAAATAGATCAAATGATAAATCTCAAATGATAACATCAACAGAAGTTCGACATTTTCGAGCACTTTTTGATTATGATCCCGAGGTAAGATAAGTTTTATTTTATTTACTATTAAAAAAATTTTATAATATAAATGTATTGGTAATATGTAAAAGTAATCAAAATATATAAAAGACATATTTATGCAAATATTTTCATATGCATACATTTTAATTTATACTAATTAGTGAATAATTCAAAGATCTTTTTTTTTTCTTCTTTACATTATTAATTTTTTAAACATAAAAGTATAATTATATTCATTTAAATATTTGAAATTCATTCACTGAAATTTAGAAATCAAAAAAAAAAAAATTGCAGATTAAGTTTCAGTAATTTGAAAATTTTTACTTTTTGAAAAAAAATTAAGGTTACAAAGATGATTAATATAAATAATAATAACTTACATCTTATCATTATTTTCAATTTGGTTGTGATTAGAAAATAAAATGATATGATTTCATTAACAGTTGTGATAATTTCTCATTTCATTGATAATTTTATTTTTTCTTTTCAGGATGATATTTATGTTCCATGTAAAGAACTTGCATTAAAATTTCAACGTGGTGATATTCTTCATGTGATTAATATGAGTGATGAAAATTGGTGGCAAGCTTATCATGATAATTGTGATATTACTAAACGGTCACTTGCTGGCTTAATACCATCAATATCATTTCAACGACAGTAAGTTACTGATCTACTGATAAGAACTATTTAAATCATAATTCATTATGTGTATTTACTTATATCATCAGTATCATTTCAACGACAGTAAGTTTATCAATTACTGATCTACTGATAAGAACTATTTAAATCATAATTCATTATGTGTATTTACTTATATCATCAGTATCATTTCAACGACAGTAAGTTTATCAATCACTGATCTACTGATAAGAAATATTTAAATCATAATTCATTATGTGTATTTACTTATATCATCAGTATCATTTCAACGACAGTAAGTTTATCAATTACTGATCTACTGATAAGAACTATTTAAATCATAATTCATTGTGTATTTACTTATACCATCAATATCATTTCAGTATGCTCAGCTACTCATTTATTGATTCTATGTATGTATATTTGCTTACAATAATGATAATTTTATTAATTTTAATCATAAATAATATAATTATAATAATATTTGTAATATATTGTAGTTTAGCTTCTTTCTCTTCTTTTTTTTTAAAAAAAAAAAATTGGATATTTAAAAAAAGACAAAAATTAAAAAAAAAGCGCAACTTTTTGCCTACCAAATTTATTTTTAAAATTTATAATTTAATAAATGAAAAAAAAAAGAAAGAAAAAGCAAATTATTTAAAGGATTACATTGTATGCACGTGAATTCGACAGAGAAAATCAATCAGAAATTAATAAACGCAAAGATTTGTTCGGTTGTAGAAAAGGAAAAAATTTAATTAAAGGATGGCATAAAAAAGGAAATGAAGAATTAAAATCATTGGATGAATTAAATGATGAAAATGGCACAGGTAAATACTATCATTTTTCTCTTTTTTTTTTTCTTGTAAATAATTTTTTTTTTTAAAACAAAATAGAAAAATAAAAAATAAAATTATATATATAAATTTTTTTTTTAATTTTCAGAAATTTTAACATATGAAGAAGTTACATTATATTTATCAAAAACAGGACGAAAAAGGCCACTTGTTCTTTGTGGCCCAGAAGGTGTTGGCTGTTTAGAACTAAGACAACGCTTGGCTGAATTTGATAAAGATAAATTTGCCAGTGCTATACCACGTAAGTTTAAAGAAAAAAATGAAAAAATAAAAAATTGAAATTTCATTTAGCTAACTTTTTTTTTTACCATCTTCAATATTTTTTGAAATTGGAATAGGTATTAAATTAATTGTAATTAAATTAATATAAAATTATTTGTGAAAAAAAAGGATGGATTATTTGAAAATGTCAATAAAGAAATAAAATAGGAAAAAATAAAAAAGAAGTAAGAATATATTCATAATTTTTCGTTACTTTTTTTTTTAAAAAAAATATTAATTATAATACCAAATGAATTAACTGATCAGATCCGATGAGAATTGATGATAAATTAATAAATATTATAAATTAATAACTAAAATATACAAATTATTTCAATTTTAATCACAATAAGAAATAAATTAATTGATCATATCTGATGAGAATTGATGATAAATTAATAAATATTATAAATTAATAACTAAAATATGCAAAATTAAATTTTGTAGATACGACACGTCCAGTGAAATCAGGTGAAATTAACGGTGTGCATTATCATTTTGTAACAAAAAGTAATTTTCAAGAAGATGCAAAAGCGGGTAAATTCATTGAATATGGTGAATTTGAAAAGTATCTCTATGGTACTTCATTAGCATCAATTCAGGCTGTTATTGATCGAGCTAAAATATGCTTATTAACACTTAAAGCTGAGGTAATTATTACTTCGAATATTTTCAATTTTATTTATTTAATGAATATAAGAAAACAAGAAAGAAAGAAAAAATGAAATATTTAACTTTTAAATTTAATACGAAATTATTTTTCGTTCTTTTTTAATTTTTTTAATGATTTAAAAATAGCAAAAATTAGTTAATACGCAATGTATTTTATTGTTTTTAATTAACAAAATATTAAAAAGAGAAAAAAAGCGAAATGCTTAATCTTTAAATATAACTTAAAATTATTTATTTTTAAAATATTAAAAAGAGAAAAAAAGTGAAATGCTTAATCTTTAAATATAACTTAAAATTATTTATTTTTTTTTTTTTTTGTTTTGCTTTTATCTTTACAATGATTGAAAAATAACAAAAATTATTACTCAATGTATTTTATCATTTTTTATTTCACAAAATATTATTTTTTGCGACAAATTTATTGATAATTAAAATGTGATCAAACAAATAAACAAATAAGCTTGTCCACATTAATGATTAAAAATTAATATATTTAATATTTTATAAAATTATGATTAAATGATTGATTCACTTCATCGTTATTGTTGTGAAAAATTTATCTTTGAGTAAAATTAGCAATATTTTATTTCCTGCAAAAATTTTGAGTAATTAATTTAAAAAAAGGATTAATACTATTGCAATTATAATAAATCGATTAATTTATTTTATAATTAATCAAAATTAGATGACAAAATTTGATTGTTAAGTAAATATGAATTGATTTAGTTTTTTATTTATTTGTTTATTTGTTTTTGTTTATTTCAGAATTTGAATGCATTACGACGGACGACATTTATGCCTTATGTTGTATTCATTGCGCCACCATCACTGCAACAACTTCGTCGTCAGAAAGAAATTTTAGGACAGCATGGAATTAAAGATGAACAATTAAAATCAATTTTAAATGAAGGTAAAACTACTGAAAAGGTTAGCATTGCTTGTTTGTTTATTTATTTATTTGTTTATTTCTAATATTAAATTATAATGAAAAAACTTTTTGATATTATATAATTATATTGAAAAATTGTAAGTAAATACAATGAAATGTTATTGTTATTATTTTATTAGATAAAATTAATTCAATGCTAAAATAATTAATTATTAAGACAAAAAAGTTTAATTGATAATTGATTATTTTCTATTTTTTGTATTAGCAATTGTTTAAATTATGAAATTACTATTCATTATTATTATTTATTATTATTATTATTACTATTATTTTGTCATGACTATTATTATTACTATATTTTTTATTATTATTTAAAATTTTAATATAAATTTTTTTATCGTATGCCGATAACTATTATAGTAACAATTAATTTATTATTAATGTTATCATTGCTATTGTTATTATTAATATTATTGTTATTGTTAGCATTGTTATTGTTAATATTATTAATAATATTATTGTTGTTATTCCATAATAATTATTATTAATTATCAATATTATTATTGATTACTATTATCATCTTTTTTTCTTACTTAAAAATGTTTGTTATTATTTCTAGCATTTTGGTCATTTATTTGATCGAATAATAGTGAACGTTGATCTCGATCGATCATTAGAAGAACTTAAAGAAATTGTTCGACGATTAGAAATGGAACCACAATGGGTGCCAACATTTTGGCCACTTAATCCTACCAATATTATTTCATCAACAAAATATGATGAAAAATTAATATATTAGAAAAATTTTTGCTATTTTCATATAATCGATTATTTTTCAATTATTATATAGAAATTTAATTAACTGTTTTAAATTTTTTAATTTTTATTTTTTTCCTTTTTCATTATTAAAATGAATGATTGTTTATTTTATAAATAAATTTGCAACGAATTCGTTTCTTTTTTTCTTCAACTAGTCATTCTTTTCTTTTTTTTTGCGGATAATTTTAATAAAAAAAATCAAAATTCAAAAAAGCAAAAAAAATCAAAAATTTAAAAAAAATCAAAATTTACAAATGAAGTTTCAAAATGATTGAAAATTCTTCGATTTCATTCTTTTTCCTTTTTTCGAATAGCAGTAAGAATTAGAAATTATGAATTATTTTCGTCTTTAATTTGTTAAATTAAAATAAATTGAATTAAAGTTAATAATTTTATTGACGGCAAATTATTGTTAATAAAATTATTAGTATTATGCAAATAAACATTACTTAGCTCAATTAATTAATCAAAATATATTTGTATTTTAAAATTATTTTCCGATATTTTCACATATAAATTTGATACAATAATTAAACGAACAATAAGTGTGCATTGAACTTAAATGTTATTCATTACTTTTTTTAATTTCGAATTATCGATTTTTTTTTTTTGTTCCATTTTGCTACTTTTGTCATAAACTTATGTAAACTCTTTGAATTTGTGATTATCATAAAGTTATGCTTATCTGATCAATTTGAATTGATTTTTGTGTAATAAACAATAAATAAATGTTCAGATAAAGTGAATTTTGTGCTGCTAAAAATTTTAGTTAGTTAAAATTGGAAAAAATAAAGATTAATTTATAATCAAATATGATAGATTTGTCTTTGTTTACAATAAATGATTCAAATCTAAAATAATTAATGATTACTTTTCATGGGTAAAGTATTAATTAAAATGATATTTGAATGAATAAAAGTGTTAATTAGCTTTAATCAAAAATACTCTTTGATCTATTTTCATGCAAAATATTCACTTTTAAGTTTAACTTTACAATTACTACAAGACAAAATGCTATTTGCCAGTGATTAATTTTATGTGATAATGTGATTTGATCTATATTTCAATATTTTTGCATTAGAGAATGAAACATAATTCGTACAAATAAAAAAAACAAACAAAATATTCCATTGAATTAAGTGAAAAATAATTTTAAAAAAATGCTATCATTAATTTATGAATTATAAAAGCCTTAGCAAATCGATGATTTATTACATATTTGTTAATTAGAAAAATAAGTGATTTACAAAAAATAAAATAAGAAATTTGGAAGCTGATTAATTTGAAATAATTTATATCATTTGAAATTTCTACTTTAAATAATTTAAAATTATTAGGTGCCTAAAATATTTGCATTAAAGGTTTGTCATATCTCATAAATAATGATTATAAATAATTAGAAAGTAATCATGTTACCTTTTAACTATTCAAAAATACTGGCATAATATTTTTTAATTTTTTGAACAGAATGTTTAAATTTATTGAAGTTTCGGTCACTCAATAATTTTTAATTCAGCTTTTTGAATTTCGAATAATTTAATTTTTAAACGAAATAATTGAATTTAATCGAGTTTCATCTAATGTTTAGTTCATCAATATTCATTTCATTAACATCAATTTTTTCGTTTTTCTTTCTTTTTTTTTTAGTAACTTTGTATTCTTAATATTTATTATTATCTTAGATAATAATTAAATTAAAATCGTTTCATTTTATTTATGTTTTATAGCCAATCAATTATTATTGTTATTATTGTTATTATTATTAACATTATTATTATTATTATCGATATTATTATTAATATTATTAATATTAACATTACATAATTTACCACATCTCTATAAACTTTTAATTTAAATGATGTATCGATTATATCAAATAATAATATAATACTATGATATCAAATGTATTCATTCAAGCATTATCATTTGTCTCTATAAAATAATTAATTAAATACTATTATAATAGTTAATATTATAATACTGCTATCATATCACATAATATATTCATTCAAATACAATTGCATTTGTTATATTATCATATCATATCATATCATATCAACAAAACACATGCATCATTCTTTTGTTTTTTGAAAAATGCTTAAAAGAATATATAAGAAATAAATTAATCACTTGCATAATGTAAGTAATTAAATCAAAATTAGAATGAAATGGTTGTTAATTTCAGATGGAAATGATAAAATAAAAGATATCACATATCATATCATATTATCACATTACATCAATAAGACACAATCATAATATTTCCTGGAATATGCTTGAAAGAATATAAGACATAAAATAATTATTTATGTAATTTAAGCAATCAGATGAAAAATACGATAAAATGTTTGTTAATTTCAGAGAGAAACGATAAATTTAAAAACTTTTTTCTTCATTATTTCATTTTTGTTTTTAACAATGCAAATTTTATTTAATTAAACATTGTCAATTCTAAGCACATTTATCGTTTATTTAAATACAAAATTTCAAGCTTATACAATATATTATAATACTATTTTTGCTTAATCTAATTGCTTCATTACCTACTTATCAAATTATACTTTAAATATTATTTAATCGAAACAAATTCGAAAATTTTGTGCTCAAATCGAACATTAACTAAAAAAGAATTATTTTATTCAATCAGAGTTGTGCTATTTAAATAGATAGTAGAAAATTCAAATAATCAAAGAAATGAAAAATTCTATTAAAAGAAATTTATGCATCATTTTGTTTCTTTTTTCCTTTAATTTTCTCATTTCTTATACGTAAGACAATCTCAGCAAGAAATTTAACACATTTATGCTTTACAATAATATTATAATCAAAATTTAACATTGTTTTCTTGGAAAATTGATTGAATTTAACATTCTGCTGTATATAATTCTTAAAAATAAATTAATTAAAAAGAAATTAAAAGTTGCACTTTTTCCTAAATAAAAATTAAATTACCATAAATACAAGTTGTATAAAATTATTTAATAGATAAAGTTAACTGTCAAATAATATGTAATTCATTAATAATGAAATCGTTGTGTTTATATTTAACGTTTTCAAATTTGGGCTGCGTTTATTAACAGCAATTCTATTTAAGTTTTTTTCTTTTTTCTTCTTATTTTTCTCTTTTTTTCTTTTTCTTTTTTCTTTCCCCTTTTTTCTTTTTCTTTCTCTTTTTCTTTTTCTGTTCTCTTTTCTCTTTCTCTTTCTCTTTCTTTTTTCTTTTTCTTTTTCTTTGTTTTCTAATAATTGTGTTTGTAAGGAAAAGATAGATCGTAAATTTGTAAAATTTATATTTTTTTGATATAAGAAATATTAATTATCCTACTATACTATAATAGATATGACATAATCTTGGCTTGCATACAGTGGAAAATGTTTATATAAGCTAAGAAAATATGTTTGTGCCTATTTTTATATTAAACTTTTATAGATTTACTAGGATAAACTTTATAGTTTTTTTTTTCTGCTTTAAATATAAGGTTTTTCTTTTTCTTTAAGATGAGGTTTTTTGATAAGATTTATAGATTATAATTTGACGTTGATAGTTTCTGGAAGTAATGCACTTTCTTCCTTTGGTGATACTTTTTCCCTGATTAATTATCAATAGTAGAATGATGATAATATTTCATAAACGCAAAGATAATTCACTCTTCGAAGGTATTACACTTTCTTCCTTCGGTGATATCACATTTGCTTCTCAAATTGTAAGAATATTGTTGATATTACGAAATTGATATTGTGCTGAAATTATTGGTATTATCTATTGACTAATAGTATTTATTGTAGATGTCTGATTCGGAGTGTAACAGTAACACTGATGGATCAGCAGATGATAGTAGTCTGAGTGATTTGGAAATGGATATCGAAAATAATGATGGACACTATTCCGACGCAGGTAGTTTGTCAAAAAAAAATTAGTTAATTAAATTTTCACATATAAATGGTATAATAATATATCTAGCATATAATATATTGATAACATAAAAACGAGCAGAAATATTTTTAATTAATGTTATTGTAGCAGATATTTTAAATTGGTTATATCACATACGTGTAAAACATTTAGCTTTGTACTTACTTTGTTGGAAAAAGGGAAATAATGGGAAAAAGGAAATTCTATTTACCAAATATTACAGATAATTTTGATTCATGATAATACAGAAATATGAGTTTAAAATTTGTTATTTTGCTTCATATTTTATTAAGGTTATTATAATATTTCTAGATGTTATCGGGACATTTGATGATGTTATCATCTTGCTTTGCTGTGTCTTTCTATAGCTAATATTGACTTTTGATGCTAATTAATTCATGTACTAAAGGAATAACACTTTTAATCACAGCGAATTCTTACAATCTTTTTTTTTACAACTGAAGAAGCGGCAATGGATGTGGATGGAGAAGAGGTTACATCACCATTTCAGAAGGAAGTTTGGCAATTAAAACATTTGCCATATTATGAAGAAATGCAAAAAGAAGCTGATGACCATTTTAGGTATAATCTTATTTGATACCACTTTAATTTTGCTAAGTTTTGGGAGGTTCATGCATATGGAAGTTTATCAAATTTGATTATGAATTATCATTTGGGATTTGCATCATTCTATTTTTTTGTCGGTAGAGTCAATAGTTTTTGGTAAGAAATGAAGGAAATCCAAGATGGATTCATTTCATATTTTTTTTTTCGGAGATATTCAACATTTTTTTTTATTTCTTATGCAGAAATTATTTCTTTATAGATAGCTAGTTATTAGTCCTTTTTAGGCACATTAAGGTTGGTTTGGTCCATGCTGTAATGCTGCGAGATATACGACCTGGTTTTGTTCATTGGATATGTGAATTAGATAAGTAAGTTCTACAATTCTATTGTTATAATTTTAACATTCCCTTATTTCAAAATATACATTTTTCATGTGTAACAGATTCTGTTCGTTCATTCAGTATTATTGATAAGTTAATATCAGTAGTATCTGAAGTTCAGCCAGCTTTGTCATTGCAACGTTCTGATTGAATCTGAATACGACAACTTTCTGTTAATTCACTATTCTATAGTTTCATTTTTCTGCAATTTAATTTTTGCTAAATGAAATAAAACTAACGAAGTAAAATTTGATTAAATTGTATTCAGATATATCAATTTATATTCACGCCGTTTCACAAAAGCAGATCATATCGCTTTGGTGAAGTTATGCTATGCTTGCATGACAATGAAAGGAGCTGATTTTCGGATAGTGAAAATATGCGCTCAATCTCTCTCAAATTTGCTATTGTAGGTTTTTCTCACTTTAACTTTATGTAGGAATACTTTTGAAAAAAAAATCAATTAATTAGTTTGTGAATTAATTAGTGATGAAAAGTAGTGTAAAATTGACATTTTCTGAGCTGTTTTTACTGACAATTTGTAGGAGAGGTCTAACAGTCTTGTATATCATCAATTATATCAATTTGTAGCAACTTTTATTTTGGTCTGTGGTTTTTCTGAAGAATGAAGAAAAATTTTTTTTTTTTAAAAAAGTATGTCTTCTTTTTACAAATTAACAGTGTAAACATGTTACACTATTTTAAGTCGAAGGGAGTTACTGTCAAGAGATGATATACAGCTTGAATGGAAACCACTCTACGATATCTATGTGGAAGTGAGCTTCAAAAGTTTGGAGGAGGATGGGGTGTTGCTGTTACCGGATGGGATGAAAACATCATTGGAGCAAGTTAGTTTAAATTATGCAGATTTTTTTTTAGTTAGCTTTTATTTCTTAGAGATTTTTGGGTTATTTGACTTTTTTTCTTTGATGGCTGAAAATCGGACATAATCATTTACTGACCTTATGCTGGTTGATATTATTGTTTATGTTACCAATTGACTTACTTCATGTCAATATCACTCGGATTGGAAACTAAAATACATCACGAATCAAATGAGGCTTTGTTTTCAGGTAATTATACACTGCAGGACCTATTTTAGCTTGAATTCCACACGGGAAATTCTAGATGAAGTAAGTTGCTGTGATAGTTGATTTTACATTTTACTATTCATATATTTATTCCGAAATATAACTATTAATCAATTAAAGAAGGATATAGTTTAAGATGGATGATTGTATCAGTTAATTGGCAGTTTGTTGTGCTGGATTATAGGTGAAGAATTAGAGTTAAAATATTTTTTTCTTTCACTTTATTTGCTTATTTTTTTTCTTGATACGCTTACTGGTTGATCATTATGTTTTTTCTTATAAAAAAAAAAGGAAATTGAGTTTGGCAAAATCTACTAATGCATTATAGTTACTTATCAATTTCTTCTTTAACTACAGGATTATTTGCTATATCTCTAACACTGTACTGTATTTTGTACCTGAGTATGATGTAGTTGAATCATATTTTATTTAGAACTTTTGTAATTATGAAATTTTTGTAACTTTTGTAATTTTGTAATTATGATTTTATTTAGAAACTTTTGTAATTATGAAACTCTAAACATCATTTTTGTAACTTTTTTTTTTAGCTTAACTAAGTTGTTTTCGTTTCTAAGGTACGACCGTACATATGTCCATGGGATGAGAGCATGTCACGAGCAGTATGTTTATTGAATTTGTTTCTGCCAACTTGTATGGAGCAAGAAATGCATATGAAATATGGTGCCGGTTTATGGTTCGATGAAATGTGGCATTGGTTTACAGTTCTTGAAACAAATTCATCGTATGAATCTAAGATAGAAGGACTTTTAGCTCGGTATAATAATGATTAGTTTAATATATTCATTTGAAATTATGGTTTTTTTTTTCGATAACCAATTTAAACTAAACTTAGAACAAATGTTATTTTACGTCTCCGTTGAAATAATTAACGTTGAGCATACTTAACGTTTGAATGCACTCCAAATGAAGGAAAATTACGTATGATATCCAAATAATCCTAATCCTGTCATAAATTTGTAAAAAAAAAAAAAAAAAAGTGAGGACATAATTTACAAGGTACTGTTAGAAAAGAGCTGACAATGAGTAACATGAGCTATTAATTTATAAAATAAAACTAGCTACAATAAGTTATGTGACAAATTTAAGCTTATCACGTGAGTGTCCTGGTTTAATCGATTGGCATGATAAATACGACATAATAATGACGCGGGTATTACGTGCACTTAATTTGGAGATAGGGCAAGGTACTGAACGAGTCAACATTTGTTCTACTACTTCATTTCATCTTGATCATGCTGCTATTTGGTTAGCATATATGCTTGGTGGACCAAATAATGGGTTAGTTTTCGACTTATTTATAAGTTTAACCTATGCATCAGATAGCTGATTTATTTAAATAGTTTATAGAAAGTTTTTTTTTTTTACATCTGCATATATTTTGGCAGTTTTTTTTTTTCTTAAATTTTCTAGATATAAAGAAGAAATGTTTTATTCTTTCTTCAAATTGAAGTTCATGTATCATTTTGTCATTTTAGAGTTCAGAATCATCTCACTCGTCTTTTCCGTTCATTGGAATCATACTTTCACCCTTCGAATTATGGTCATCATTCTATTACAATACTTCATTTTTTGTTGAGATTGGTTAATTCTGTTTGCAATAGATTACACAAGGAGCGATACCAAAAACCTAGCTGCCATCCACAGGTTTTTTCTTTTCCTTTTTTTTACTTTATTTGTGAAATAAAAAACTATTTTGAATACATTTTCTTCTGATTAGAAAACAGAAATAAAAAAAAAATGTGAATAAAATTTTTTTTTTTGTGTGTTTTTATGAAATTTGATATAATCTATATCAATCGTGTATATTATTCATAACCACGTGATCATGTAGTTTTTCTTACTACTTGTTTTCATTTAGGTTCCAGCAAATCTTCGTTTAACAAATGCACAATTGGATGAGTTTGTAGAGTCTGTATTGCCATGTGCTAAACTTGCATTATTTGCAAAATATAAAATGGAGTATGCACCTGCTATAATTCGTAATCTATCGCAAATAGCACCGCGAATTGTTGTACCAGCAGTTCTTGATTTGTAAGTTTTTTATGTTTCATGGAACATATTAGACTAGATTAGAAATAAAAATCATCTGTTTACTGGATAGTTTTTTAGATATATAAAAAATTTTTTGTTTATTAAATATAAAAAGATGAATGTAGCTTTTATGCAGTAGGCATTCAGGTTTATAATGGTATTGTTTTGCATTATTAAATATGACATATTTGAAATGGCTTTTTTTTTTCAACAAGTTTTGACTGAAAACATTGAGAAACTTTCGATTTGTTTTATTTTATATATTTTATAGGGTATATCCTGCATTAGAGACAGTAGTTGAACCTCATCGCTTGGTACAGTCTATGAATGCGTTAATAGCAGTTTGTGTTACATTAGTTCGTGATGATTCTAATTTGGGCAGTCACAAACGTGCTCCATTACATACAATGGAAGAACTTTCCGATAAACCATATCGTAGTCATGCCATTGCACTTCTTAATTCAGTTTTACCTGGTTTAGATGCTAATGATATTTCAAAAATGCTGCTAACATTTCAGGTTTGTTCATTTCTTGTTATTAATAATAGCTGAATAACTTCTATTCAGGATGAATGCGCATAATGATGATAAATGATCTGAAAGTTAACTGCACGGAAAACTGCAGTAAATTAAAGGTGAAATGAAATTATGCATCAAAGTGATTAAAGAATAGGGTATGGTATGCTTTAATAATTATCATCCAGATTCATTCTGAGAAATTTGGTGTATATTGTCCAGGTCTGAGAACCGAGAAGTTTGGTTTGTGGTACTGAATGATTCGATAATTATGGCATGAAAATATTGCTTGGCGATTTTGCCGAAAATATCACACGAAATTGACTGGCTGATTGAAAAGACACTTTGTGAGAATAATTCTTTAAAAAAAATGTCAAGATTACAAACCTTCCTTTTTTTGTAATTATTATTCTCTGATTTGATTTAGATCATAAATTTGCTGATAACATTGGTACCCATTGTTGATTGTTCGGAAGCTATTCATGTACGAAACGATTTAACAGAGGAAGAGCAAGAAGTTTGTTCAGCAACAGCAAATTTCGAAACAATTGTGCAAAATCTTTTAGATAAGTGAGTTGTATTTTATATTTCTTCTCTTTTCCTTTCTTTTTTTTATTAATTTATTCAATGCCTTACATCTTCTTTGCTTAAATTTCATTTATAAAGTGTGTTGTTTATAGGATGATAGAGATAATTCATGTTTTTACGGGTGGTGCACCAGCAGTAACGACAGTACAAGGTTCATTGGGTGCTAAATCACAATCAAAATTATCAGTGGAAGAAACGGTGATAAAACGAGGCATATTTTCTGTATTTCGTGCTCTTCTTGGTAACTGCAGCACAGCAATTTATAAAGTGAGTGTTTGATAAAATGAATGAGAATTTTTTGAGTATTTGGCATTTATAATTTAGCTGGAAGGTTAACATTCTGACACTACTTGTTAACATTTTGCATACTGTTTGCATTATAAGATGAGGCAATGAAGGTTTATGGTTAGAATTTCAGTATTTTCAAGAAATCAGTTAATGCGATTTAGAAAAAAGAAAAATAAAATCTTGTTTTTTAGATTGCTATAGATAAATTATATGATTTCATTTCCACAAATATGTATGATAGCCGATTGGCTGCGGACACCGTTTCAGAAATGATTTTCTGCGCTGTTAGGGTATATTTATTGCATTTTTTTTTTCTCTTTTTTACAACATAATTTGGAACTTTTTATCATTCTCTTATGATTGATTTTGAAATGTTTATCCAAATTTATTAATAACTCTTAAAATTCAATGTATATCTCTTATTTGCTGATTAAAATGAGAAACATTTCAAAAATTTTCACCGTTTAGGTGTTAACTAACAAAATATATGTATAGAAATAGAAATTTGTTTTTTCTTTTTGTTTTTACGTGAGGTTTTTACATAGCAGTATTAAATCATGAACTATTTAGACAAATCCACGGCAATCCCTGGATCTATTCTTGGATTTGATTACAGAGAAATTGGTTCCACTAATAACAGGTATATATCAAACTACTTTCATCTGCGTGATCTTTTTTTTTCCTAATTTTTTTTTTTTTTTTGAAAACAGTATGAAATTTCCTATGCTTTCTTTCTGAATATAATAGTATGAGAATTTGGTATCTTATTCATTCTGATCTCAGCATTAATATTATAAAAAAAAAAAAACGAAAAATTCTAGCGAACATTTAAATGGATGAAGTGAATTATTTAATTTCATATTGTGTATGAGAATTTGAGATGGATAAATTAATACTCACTTTCATTCATATTATTAACATTTGATAATTTTCAAAATTTTCACGCAATGATAGAGTCAGATAGGATTTTTTTTTAGAAGAAACATATGAAGAAGAAGAATTAGACTCCACAGTGGTATGGTATATTATTTTGGCTTCGCAACTCTTTAGAGCATCAGGAATGTATATTTTATCACACAAGACAAGAATGCTAAATTTATTGCGAATGATTGTGCCTTTGACATGTCGTACGGCATGTGAGGTAATTTTATTTTTTCTTTCATGCATTATTTCCTGGAAAAAATGATGGTAAAAAAAAAGCTTTTCCTGGAATTCTGACTTCTTATTTTCTGTTTAAATAGTCCTCAGAAAGAGTTTGAGTAAAACTGTAGTTGCAAAAATAAAGTAAAATATGGAAGAACTTACGCTTTATCTGTAAAAGATTTCTTCTTAGAGTTTAGTTATGTAAGAATTCAAATTCTTTATTTATTTCCTATATAATTATGGGATCATGAAACACCATTTAAATGCTTGGAAATGAGCAAAATTACGGAGGCTTATTTTACAGCTATCGTGTAATGCATTGGAATGCATGTTAACAGGTTTAACAAATATATATACTGATAGCAGCGAATATAGACGTGAAAAACTTGACCAACCATTCGAGAAACATCTTCCAATAAGAGTTCGTATTACTGTTTTTCTTTTTTTATAAATCAATTGATTTCATCAATTAAATGCTGCTCTTTTCTTATTTTATAGTTCTTACAATGCAGTTTTGAATGATTTCTCGAATGAAAGAGGAATTTTGAATTTTGCATAACCACTGATCAAATGAAATGTAAGTAGTTAGTTCACATTTCAAGATATCAGGATGTTGATTTTTTCAGGATTGGGCAAAAGTAACGGATAAAAAAACTTTCCAATTGAAATGGCATATACCAACTGATGAGGAGTTTCAGCTAGCATACGATGTGCTGGACGAATTTTTCTATCCAGAATTAGAAAAACTAACGAATGCAGATTCCCTTTCAAAGTACATTTTCTTTTATGCTATTTATGTTTTTTTCTTTTTTTGAATATTCATTCACCTTTCTTTTACCGAAATATATATTTGAGAAGAATGACTGTAATGTATTTAGGATGAGTATGCAAATGCTATATGAAAAAGAATGAGCCGGATTAATCAAAAATTTGTATTTCTTTCAATTGATATTCTTCTAAAATTACATTCTAATTTTAGGACAGAAATGTTAAAATCTTTGGAAATAATATGTAGTTGTTTGGCTGGTGTATCTGCTGCATTACCACCTCTTGGTGGAAAATTGATAACATTGATAGAATCACCAGTGAAAGTTTATCCTTTTCAGTTTGTTGCTGCTCCAAGTTATGTAAAAGGTATTTGTATCGTGTACTACTTTATAAGATACGAAGTAACGTATATTAAATGTATTTAAAACTATAGCTGTTGACGTTTCTTGTAATGGATAAATACTCATATAGTTACTACTCATCACTATTATAATTTATAAAGATGATTTTATCCTGCAATCTTTACAGAAATGACGTATAAAGGGACGAATGTACGAGATTTTGTATTGAAACGAGTAAAAAGTGTTGCGGAATATTTGGTACTAAATCGAGAAAATGATACGAAATCCTTGTCAGCTGTATGCAAAATTTTACATATTCTCGTTTTTCAGCGTGGAATTGATCGCGTTAGTCTATCGTTTTTAATTTGTTTACTTTTACAATTGGGCTAGTATGCCTGAAAGAAAAAGTTTCAAATACGTCTTACAACTTTGAAAAGATGAACAGTTTCCTTTTATACTTTTATTGTTTTGAATTTAATAAATATATATGTGTTTGAAGCTAAGAATATAGAAAGATAAGATTTCTTCAAAGTGAAATTAGTTGTACTGATATAATTCATGAAAAGCTTTTATAAATGGAATGCAAACATAGATTTGATCGAAGTGGTTCAAACATTACTGTGAATTATTTCATTGGTTTGTTGGGGATTGTTGTTCCACTGAAACTCGAAAAGTTTTTATTTGTCGCAATCTCTGCTATAGATTTTTAACAATAATAGTAAAGCTGAATATCTTTCAGACGAAATTCGATTTGCAAAACCAAAATTATATATTATCGAAAAGAATTGTTGGTGATACAGTGCAAGGAAACAGAGCAAACATAGAGCTGGTCACTACCGAGTTTCTGATGCTGCAGCATCATGTGAGCATCAGAAATTATTAAAATTGAAAAAGTGGTTCCGAAAATTCTGGCTTTTTTACCTGAACATATATCTGTTTAAATTTGTCTTCTTGCTTTCAATTTTACCTATTTATTCCCTGTTAAGGGAAGCATTGATATGAAATAGTATGAGGAGGAGTGACTTGTGAACTTTTAAATATTTTTTTTGTATTCACTTTTGAAGATGAAAAAAAGTAAATAAATTATAGAAACGAACACTGGCACGTTCCGGATATTATTTTACTGCGCAACATTTGGAAATAATGAAATTACTGGTGCGATTAGGTACAAGTCTCTACAGTGCTGTATGTTTTTGCTATTTTTGTGAATTTATGGTTAAATTTAATGATTTATAATAATAATAATAAAATACGATAAGTAATATAAGCTCGCATATTTTCCAAATATTCAAAATAATTTATCGATGTAAATTAATATTGAAATGTAAATTAGTATTGAGATGTAGTATGTTTCAGACTCGAATTGATGCCCAAAGGATATTAGATGGCTGCATTCAGACATTTCCTTATTCATACCTACTTGTGCTGGATGATATACTTGCATTTCTTAAGGAATCATCCGATATATCCCATGAACAATTCAAAGTGATAATTATTTTTTCAAATGAGTTCAGAAAATTGTTCTTTTATGGTAGTTAGTGCGAGATTTTTCAATCTATTAATAGTCTAATTAGTAATGCATGAGTTACAGGGATTAGTTTAACAGAAAATATTGTAGTTGCTTTTTTTTTTTTGAAATGGTCTTGCATAATTATATTTGATATGAAGTTATGTCTCTACCGTGAACAATTTACGAGATAGCAAGTTCAATAAATTTAAAATGATAAGTGAACATTTCGTTCGCAAAATAGAATTTGGAATATTTTCCATTATTTCTTTTTTTATATTTTCCATTATTTCTTTTTTTTTTACAGGGTGCATTATATATGCTTTTAAATGGTAAGAGATTAGCAATTTGTGTTCGACAAAATTGGAGTACATTATTACGAGTTTGGCCAGCACTTATTGAAGCGCAACATTCCGAGAAGCCTTCCGTAATTGGTCTGTTGGAATTGGCTCAAAACACTCTTGTCGATAATTTCGAATCATTTCAGATCAACTTTTGGGTGATTTATTTATTAGCTTTCTTTTTTTTTTGGTATTGAGTTTCTTTAAATGTGTTACTTATAGTTAGGAATGATAAGAATTAGTATAGTATGTCAATTAAAATATCGAGCATGCAGAAAATAATATGCCACTTCTACATAATTATTTAGTATACTTAATGTTGCTCTGTGAATAACTGACTTCATTAATACATAGATATTAATTTATTAATTTCTAGTTCGATAATATAGATATTGATTTACGACGAACATAATATCATTAAACTATCTTATAGTTACACTTTCTCGTCATTTTCTATTGCGAATTTATTACAGTTGCCGGATGGACCGGTTGTTGCCGCGCGAGAATTGTATGCAGCAGGTGGTGGTGAAAATATACATCAACCGGCATGGGCATTACCTACTGATGAAGAGATTGAAGCTGCTATTGAAAGAGAAAATACTGCATGCGAAGAAAAACAAAAGTAGTTTCATAATTAGTTGTTATTTACAACAACTTTTAGTTATTTAAGTGGAACATAGATTTTTTTAAAGAAATTTTTACACCTTTTTTTAGCAACTGTGTTTTTAAGTGATCAATAAATTATTGTTTATATTAAGATTAAGCTAATTTAATGGTTTGAATCACTTGCGTGGTGAGCGGATGAATTAAATTGCTTGATTTTGTACATTTTCTAAAGTGCAGACTGCTAAGAAAAGCGTATGTGTAGTTGTTACCAGTTTTTCTTATAGCAGAATTAATTTAGTGAAGTATATTGTCAATTTTACTGACAGTATTTAGGTCGCAATTTATGATATTTACGTATACGTAGAATAGTTAATTTAGATTCGGCTCCTTTTTTTCTGAATTCTAGAAATTTTTTTATAGACTGTATTATTTGCTTTGTGATCGTTTGGTTGCACTCAGTACGGATGCAAATCTTCATTGGCGACATGTTGACATGGCACAGTCTTTACTTTCATTGCTTATCAGACGAGATGTGCCGTTTCCACCAGATGCTGTTAAGTAAGTTTTCAGAATAGCTCAAAATGTTAGCTGGTGTTTAATCCAATTGTTTTTAAGATATATTCATAAATGATTTTATATGCTGGATCATTTTATTTCAAATTATATTTTCAAAGTATATTATTTTCATGCTTATTTTGACGATATTATTCTTATGGTTAAGAACATGCTGATATTGTATAATTTAAGCATGACATATTTTTAATAGTATCAGATTGTCTCTGAAAAAAATTATCAGATAAAATGATTTAACAAAAGTACATTTTTATCTATAATTTTTAAATATAATAGCACTGCGTTGTCTCTATTTGTAGATTGTTTATTCGTTTACTTGTGAACGATACTGTTAAAACGAGACGCATGGCAACTGGATTAATAGCTGCATGGTTACATATTACAAAACCTCGAGCCGTAAAAATACCTTTTGAAAATCCGATTAAAGTAATTATTGTATTATTTAATAGAATAAATATAATCTTCGCATTTTTATCATATTTTCCCAGGACAGGTGAATTAGTCATTGATATGCGGCTTTACCATTATTGTGCGGGAATATTAAACTCAAATTTTGATCAATCTTCTTGGTAGCCTAGTTTGATCTAGCTGTATTTAGAAAAGTGAAAAAAAAAGAAACTAATATATTTTTTATTTGATATCTTCACAATAAATTATATTTATAGGAAGAAAATGTTGGTCCTGGTGCAGAATGGCCCATAAAATATGGTTTTCGAATGGACAATCTAATAACAATGTATAATAGAGAAAAAGTACCACGAACGGCAAAAGACTGGAATGCTACAGTGTTTTTCAGCAAAACTCATTGGGGCTTCTATACTTGGCCAAAGTAAGTTTTACTGCTAGTCTTTTCCAGATATTTCAAAAAAGCTATTTTCAACTATCTAAATGTTAATGGAAATTAAAAAGTACTGTAATGATATAGTTATGTTATACACAAATGAGTTACCGAATAGATATTTTAATTCTTTGTGATTACTAAAATTTTGAACCAATATTATATTAAAATTAAAGTAGCTAAAGCTTTTTTGACTAATTGGAATAATAGTTGTTGTATGTGATATTGTTTCCAATTATCAATTCTTGAGATATAATAGTGAAATGTTTCTATTTAATTTAATCGATTCACAATTCATAATTTGGATTATCTGCAGGGTTTTGAAAGTTTACGCACCAGCAAATGAACAAAAAGCGATTAATCGTAAACTGGAAGAATTAAGTGAAACTGAACGTTTCATTGTGGAAATATTTTGTGATGATGAATTTGCGGAAAAATTTCGTCAATATATGAGTGTTGAAGAGAAGAAAGGTGAAGAAGCATTCGATGCCATTGCGTTCGGTTTATTTTACGTCAGTTTTATTAATTCTTTTATTAACGAAAGTATATTTATTGACAGAATTGTTAATGTATCATAAGATACTGTCATCAATGAGTCACTTTAATGACTTTTTTTTTTTGATAGGTAATACTAGGCTTTTTTTAAAGAAGCTTTAGATATCAGTATATCTAGCGTGAAACAGTAAAATTATTTTGATATCATTTTGTGGTCAGTTTGCACTATGTAATAAATTTTGTATGATTCAGATGACTCTAAAGTGTCTTTTCTCTCCATATACTATAAAAACTTTCCCCAAACTTCGATGACAAATCGAACTTTTAATATTGCTTTTTTAAATGATTTTCATAGCTGTTTTTTGGAAAATTATTAGTAAGATTAAAAACGATGCATATTTCCAATTACTTTGAGTAAAAAAAGAAATTGTTTTTCAGGGCATTTTTCGGAACTATAATGATCTTATGCTTCCAATTTTTAAGAAACATTTGGAAATTCTGCTTGCAAGTGATAAGGTTACGCATTTTATCTTCTTTGTTTTTCATGTTTCGAATTGTTTTGTAGAACTAATATATATTCAGAATCCTACGTTTATATTTCATAATAAATGTTTTATTCCTCATTTTCATTCGGACAACGATGAATCAAACTTTTAATATTGCTTTTGTTTTTTTCTAATTTCATATTTTTAGGAAGGTGATCAACGATTAGCATCAGAAATAGTTGCGGGACTGTTAAATGGCAGTAAACTTTGGTCATTCGAGAAGATTTCAGCAATGTCGAATTGGCTTAAACCTTTAATAAGTAGTTGCTTGGAAACAATAAAAACTGAAAATGTCAAAAATTGGGGAACAGCTATTGCGACAGTTTTCGGTTCAGCTGACCCGAAAGCGCTTTCATGGTTTATTGAAATGCTTCTTGAGTTATGCATGAAGCCAACGGATAACAGCTTTCATGCTACTACGTATGAACTTTTTTCATTAATGTTATTTGTATAATTCCTTATTAGTTGTATTACGAATGAATGCATTTCATTTGTTAACTTAGTCTGTATGAGAAATTGATCAAATGAGTAATTTTTTGTTGAAAGATTAAAGTAATAAATTTGTCTTCAAATTAAAAAGAATATTTCTAATTTTACTAAAGAAAACTGATTTAAATAATTATAGGAAAAATCCCTTTTGATAATTAATGCATATCTGAATGTACTTACTTATATGTTATTAACAGTAGCATGTTGAAAGTTTGAAAGTAAGGCAGAGGAATAAATTTTTATGGCCATATCGCAATGAATAATGGATTTGCAGTGATCAGATTAATTTTGGTTACTTTATATAAATGTCAGATATGATGAAATAAAATGGATAACTACTTAGTTTCAATTAGTATAGATTGTGTTATTTATTTCAGTTAATCTTGATAATTTACATATAAGTGGGATAATCAATTATAATCTTTTTTTTTTTCTTTTTTTTCAATTTTATTTCTTTATTCTAATATCATATAGCTTATACGATGATATCATTTTTTTTAGTTATAGGATTTGTGAGAAATCCTTTCCGTTTCAGGCGAATGTATTTTGTGCAAGGTGCTTTAAATCAGTGTGAATGGCGAGTAACAGAATTATGGAATCAGCTGTTTCAAAAATGTTTGGGAACTATGGAAGAATCATATCAGAATTTACGTGAACGTATTGGCTCTAGTATTGCTACCATTGTATGGTTTGATTTGAGTCATTTATACATTGATCCACGACTGCCAAAGAAATTTCATCCAATGAAAATTGACGACGTAATGGGTAAAATTAGTGCAAAAGTAAGTTTTACTAGAGTTTTTTGTTATTTCTGCCAATACTATAGTGCTTTGTCAATGAACTTTTTATATGAATAATGTTAAAATTTTATTTGCAAATATTTTGAACAAATTAACAAGCATTAAGTGAAAATTTTGATTAGGAAGAAAATTTTATTGGGACTTTAATCTATAAATTTTTCTTTTTATGAAGAGGAAAAAACGTTTTGGTAGGTATCCCTAGGCGATATGTGAATACATATCTTCACTAACGTAATTGGAAGCGTTCGGTTTCTTACTTGAAGTGTAACATATACCTAATTAAATCATTATAAAATTAATTAGAGAATTTCTACAGAAATTGATTAAACAAGCAGTGCTGCTATCTGTTTTATCCTGCTTATTTCAGTTAGAACTTTTGTGGTCTGAAGTCGCCGTTGCAAAACGGGATGATGACGAAGTAGAGGATATTTGTTTGGATAGAAACATGGCGATTAGTAATGGTGAAGGCAATGGCCGAAAAAAAGTTCGCTAATCTTTTTTTTTCGCAAAAAAAAAAAAAAAAAAAAAGAAAGAAAGAAGAAAAACACTTAATTAATTTCTTCTCATATTAAAAAAAAAAATGGATAAAAGAATATATTATGAGGAACTGATGGTTTCTGTATCAACTTTATATATCAAAGATTTTGGAGAAAAGCTTTCAATTTACTACCATTTTCAGGCAATTATGACATTTAAATGTGCATTAAATTATTTAAACGCACACTGGGTGCATTCGTTCACTGCCTTACCGCCTGCTATTTTTAATGTTTTACCCTTGCTCATACATTTTGAAAATGAAACAAGGTATTTCATTTTTTTTTTTTTTTTTTTTTTTGGAAAGAAATTATAGCATCGAACTTAGGGTAGCAAAATGAATATTTAAATCGTCAAAAGTTGCAAGTTTCACAGTCCTTGTTTCTAACACTGGAAACCACCGGGAGCTCTTCTAATACCTTCACTTTGCAAAGCAACAAAATAAGTGATTCGATTACCGTGGGATAGAGTTATAGGAAAGGAACCCTATTCATGATCAGGATCTTTTTGTTACTTCAGAATTTGTTTCAGCGACGAGGAATTAAAAAATAGTTGTCATGATCAATTGCGCCAAGGAATGTCACAAACTCTTATTGTGGCAAGCAATGTAGAAATGGTTTTGTGTGGCATTAAAGAGGTTAGCTTTATCATGTCCTGCTACCTGTGGATGCATAATCTTAGCAATCAATCTCATATTAAGAAGGGAATTAAAATTGTAGAAGTGCACTGTGATTGTTTACTTTAGTTTACTACTTATAGTAATAAATCAAGTAATTATCCGATATTATGCATAAGATCTATCCTCTGATAGGAGTGATGGTAATATTTTGATAATTTAAATAACTTATATATATGTTTTGATTGATCGCTGTTTCAATTTGATTTTTGCAATTACAGTTAGCTTCATCTGCTGCTTCTTGGTGGAAACCGAAAGTTTCGCTGCTAAAATACATGCAAGTTGCTGTATTCTCCAATTTCTTCCTTTTCCTTCATCATCGCCCATTTTTACAATCTATTCTCTGCTCCATGATACTTGATCCAAAATTTGAAGTGCGTGAAGCTGCTGCTACAACACTATCAGGTCTTATCCACTGTCACTTCTTGGACGTGGACCACTTAATTGTTGTAAGTTTTATGTTTATACGTGTTCATGTTATCGTTATGAAGCATTAATGAAAATTGCAAATAAGTTAAAAACACTGATTGAATTTGTTGCGCAGGTAATAGCGATATGTATGTCACATTAGCAAATGTACCGACGTATATTGATGATTTAAACAAAATTAAATTTTAGGAGACATTTTACGAATGGTCTCGAGAGGAGAATGGTACAAAACGACATGCCGGTGTCTTAGCTCTTTCTGCTATTGTTCAGGCATTTCCATACAGCGTTCCATCATTCTTGCCGAAAATCCTGATGCAACTTTGTCGTCACACTTGTGACAAACAACCTATGCAAGTAGGCTTTTTGTTCTTCAAATTTTAGTAAAATTTTAGAGTTAAATTTAATAATTAAATTGGTTGACTTGTAGCTGACTTGAAATAATCTACCTTCAGTTATTCTGAACATTCTTAGTCATAGTGATAGCGTAAAAAAAGAACGTATATTTCACGTGATAACCATTGATAGTGTAAAAAAGATCATCTATTCCACGTGATAACCATCTTAACGGTTAAGGAAAGAATATTTTTAGGATACAGTGAAGAAAGCGTTGAGTGAATTCAAGCGTACTCATCAAGATAATTGGCATGAACATAAGATGCAGTTCAGTGAAGATCAACTTTCCATTCTGACAGATCTGTTCGTTTCACCCAATTATTACGTCTGACTGAGTCCGTTGATTGAGGGTTATTTTAGAATAGCAATTTTCCTAGAAATGCTTAGAAGTGTGGTTTGTTTATTTAGTCATTTAAATTTTCAAAATTTTGGATGAAATTGCTTTAATGAAAAACTTTTGGGAATTTCTTTTATTATCATTAGAGAAGGCCTTATTATGAAGTTATACCAACAATTATTGTTTAGTGCACAGTTCAAAGCTCGTTGATATTACAGTCAGGGTTTTACATTCTTTTGCTTAGGTGTCGTTTAGTATTATTGAACCGGCTACATTTCTCTCTCTATCTCCACGACATATTTTAATCTGATGATGGTGACACAATTTAATTACATTGTCGAGTGGTAACCTTAGTAAAATATTTTAGTAAAGAAAAAAATTCGAATATTGAAAGTTGATTTCTCGCGTCATCATCCATCATTAAGAAAATCTAAGCTTCATTTTTGAACTTAAGCTAATGGATTAACGGCATACTAGCTAATGATATGACTTACCTTTGATATGTTTCTGTTTCTAGAAGTTTTATAATAATTTTGAAAAGGGATTACTTATCTGCCGTTCGATCGTGTGGAGTTTATGAGTACGGAAGCCGGATTTCAAATTTTATGTTAAATAAATGATACTCACTGTAATTTATTTCTTCGTTTATGATGCTGTGATGACATTGCGATTTGTTCACTGAACTTTATTTCTCAATTGCTTCCTTCACACTTCTTTCTAATTTTTAGGATTATATGTTGAAAATTCCTTACATAAAGTACATCTCATTTTTTTTTCATTTTATTATCATTTTTAGCCTTCTATTTTCTGTCTTTTTCTGTTGTTAAATATTGAAATGCAAAAATTCCACAGATTGTAGGATAATGCATGGATGCTAAACAATTTAGATATTATAATCCCTTGTCTTTTAATCTTTCCCGAGTTCTTTTTATTCCATGAAACTCCAATTTCATTGGGTATGAATTATTTGATTGTTACAAGGATAATGCACAATGATTATTTTTGATTATCAAATATCACTCTATTTGCCTTACCATTTATTAACGATATGTCGAAGATTTGTTTCATTTCCCTGTGGTCTTTGTTGTTTTCTGAAATTGCATTCAGTAAAGATTAAAATGGCATTTTCAAAGATCTTCTACACTACCAGAATTCATATTCTTCAAAAAAAAATACTTTATTTTGATTTCCAATTAAATTTTAAAGCAATATTTTTAAAACTTGATAAAAATAGAACGATATTAATTTAATTTGTTAGAGCTCTGAAGAAGAATTAAATACAAATGTTTGATTATAGGAGGTTAGCTTATTTCCTACCTTACTGATGTCATTATGCAATGAGTAATTAGACTTGACAATGTTGTGAACCCAACGAATATTTTGACAAATTACCTATAATATCTGCATTGGTTGTAACATAAATTTCGTGCCTAAAAATATACACAATATTGTGAAAGTATGCTAGCATGCTATTTTTATGACTTTTAACTCAAAATATGGAAATTTGACATGAAAATGGGAAAGGTTTGTTTTTCCTTTTCCTTTTTTTTTTTTGCAAGATCTGTGACATACATTTTTCCAAAATTTTGAGTTTTTAAATTGTTAGTTTCTTTTTTTGAAAAAGTAATTTGAGTTAAATTAGTCTCCTTTTTCTTTCAGTTAGCCATTAATATGATAAATTTAGGTTAATTTTAGTACCTTTTTAGCTTGATCTTTCAAACAAAGTTTATATTTCAAGACTAATATTAAAGACTTTTCTCCTTTTTTTTTGCTCCAAATTTACTTAAATCTATAAAATTGTCATGCATCATATGTTTATTTAGGTTATTTTTCATAATATGATGTGAAAATTGTTATTCAATTCTCGAAAGAATGTTAATATAACAATGGAAATTCAAAATATTATTCGAGCTTGGTTAGCATTCACCGTACTACAACTTATCGGTAATCTTCGACAGTGCATACAATCAAAAAATTTTTTAAAAGTTTTGTTACGCCGTAAAACTTCTACCACTACAGGTTAGTTATGAAATGAAATTAAATTTTAAGAATAAAAATGTTTATGCAACTTTTTTTTAGTTTATTTTATATATGTAATTAATTAAGATAAACATTTTTAGATATAGCATCTATTGCTGCATCATTTTTTGTTCACTACTGGACAATATTACTTCTACGCCTCTTTGTAATTTATTATTTCGATTGCATCCCACTTCATATATTTCATATAATTTGTACAATAACATCAGTTGGCTTTCTTTCCTTTGAAATTTTTTACACTGAACTATTGGAAAAATCAATGGCTCAGTATATACAGATTGCTTTATCTGGTAAGTTTACTGAAATTTGTATCTCATATAGAATTTTCATTGAATTAAAAACAAGAAAAAAATTAAGTTTTGAATTGGACATCATGATGAAAATATGCAATACATTACATCGTCAAGTAGAGAAATTTATATTATTTCCGATTGAAACGAAAAATGCTAGTTTTTATTATTATTATTATTTCTCGCTAAGGTAATTATTACTAGCAAAAAAGACACACAATTTCTTTCTGGATAGTTTGTTTTTTTTTTTAAATTGTAATGATAGTTTTTGAATCGACTTAACTTTTGTCAATTATTCATATCATTCTTTCTTTCTTTTTTTAAGGTTGTACGGTCTTAATTATTATATCTAGCTGGAAGTATTTATTCACAGTTACCAGAAAACAAGAAAAAAGACGTAAAAAATTAACCGCTGTACATATGATGGAACATAATTACATGGATCTCAAAAAACAAAAATGATAAATGTGGTGTATTTATTACTTACTTATAATGATAATAAAGAGGAAAAATGCAGTGAAACAATTAATATTTTGTTTCATTGTTTATTGATAGTCAGATTTTGTGGTTCCTTTTTGAAAGCTCCAAACATTTCTTAATTTTAACCGACAAAAAATTTTTATACAGATATTAGTAATATTCTTCTCTTTTTTTTCCTTTTCTTTTTCAATGTTTTACTTTTTTTCGTTCTATTTTGTAGGTATTTCTTTTTTTCTTTATTTTCATATTTAATTACAGATTATAAAAAAGATTATAGTCTCTACAACATTAAGATGTGAATTTATAGATATGCGCCAGAATAAGCAGATATATCTTTTCGACTTGATTAAGACCTATAGCTTGTTTACTTTCATGCTTACCGAACATCAACCATTGCATTATGCTCAATAAGACAATTTCGGGAGTTCAATAATACTTTTTTTTCCCAAAAGATATGTTTATGAGATAAGAAAGAGATCGTTGCATTGTACAGTACCACAAAAAAAGCATTCTATTGTTTTTCAATAGTGAATTGTCAGCATATGTTTGCGGCATTTTCCAAAAGGTTTTCCTCTTTTTCTAACACATTTTCCATAGTATCAGATCCTTCTATCTGAAAAAGAAAAAAAAAAGTATATTAAAAGCGAGATTTTCTTGTCCTTTCAATATTGACAAGCGTCATCTCTGAGTAATTAATTTCTAATCAGTCTTCATAAAACTTAGATTCTACTTAAAATTCCCATTCACAACTTGTTTATCCACGAAAAATGACGAAAGATATCGACTACAAAATTACTTTTCTCCTTGAAATTAACACTGCCAAATGAAGATAAAAGGAATATGAATGTGCCACTTGAGTTTACGAAGTCAGTCGTAGTGGGTTTTACCTGATTTCGTGCAGATTTAGCCACTCGTATGCGACGTTTGATAATAACAGTTTGACCTGGCTTAATACCTACTGCTTCTACAAACGGTCGAGGTAAATGTTGCAATTTCATGCGTTTTTTCATACCAGTTACAGGATTTGTGAACATTACAATATTCGGCATATCATCTTTTAATGACTTTTTCTCGACTTCTTGGGTTTCCGATAACAAAATTTTTTCTGATGAATAATCTTGCGAATTCTCGGTAGCACCTTGGTCGATTTTCTATAAAGAAACTGATGAATTCATAAAATTCTCGTGTTTTCCAACCAAACAAGTCATATCTAATTGCAATACAACAGTTTGACTAAAATAAGAAGCAGTAACCTTAGGTTCATCTGAAGAAGATACCACTTTTCGTCGTTTTCGTAAAATTGATGGCTTGCATGCATGCAGACGTTCAGTGCGTTCCGGTCGTGATACGGAAGGCTGGAATCATGAATTAAATTTAAGTACTCACTGATTAAAACTCTAATGATTATTACGCATCTCTACACTATCGTTAGTGGGGAAAAATACCAACTCATCCTACATCTTAGTGAACTTCAGTAATCATCGTTTTTTACTAGGAGAAGACAACAACTTTACTACGAGAAAATATTATTATTAAGCAGAAGAACTACTATTACAAGGAAAAAGTGCTGTAAGCATACGTTATCCTATGAACAAAGTCGATAATCATATGCTTTTAAAAGTAACTGTCATAATTTTGTGAGGTAGCCTAGGACTCAAAGCAAGAAACTGAAATGAACACACACCATTTCATCGAAATCATCATCATTTGCAAGACTTTCAAGATATGTTAATGTCTTAGCAACGGGCTCTGTTGTCAAACGTTGCAGGAATAAATGAGGAGCAAAATCTTCATGTGATGGATCGTTAGATGGTCGACCTTGTCGAAAATGTATACTGCATACCTATAAAGTGATAATAAACTAAATAGTAGTAATATGTTTAAGTCGATATTTATATATAAAAAAAGTGCACATCATCCTGTGAATGGAAGCAATAATAATGTCATTTTAAGAGTGTGTAAAATGACATAAAATGAAATAATCCTAAGGGATACTAGAAGTATAGTTCTGACTAATTTACATCTTCCAAATCCTCTATGAAGTTTTGATTTTTCACACTAAAAACAACATGCTGCTAAGAATCATATTTAATATGATAATCGCAAAATTTTCAAAAAAAAAAAAAAAAAAAAAAAACAAAACAAAAGGTTTAACTGCTTGATTCACTACTTTCTGAGCATCGAGATTTTAACTTCTCTAACAAATAAACATAATCGGTAATACCACACAATACTGTTTGAAGTTAGCTGTATGTTATAATAAGTAAAAATATAGTCAAATATAGTTTTTAGTTTAAAGTTGGACCGAAATATGAGATTAGATTTGCACTTAGATTCAATTTGAAGATTTAAACGTATATAAGGGACAAAATCAAATTATACTATAAAATTCCACTTGAGAGTTACAGCCAAATATGCATGCTTAAATTATAGTAAAATTTGATACTCATGTTCATATTTAAATTTTGGATATAATTTTTATCAAATAGAAGCTAACATATTGTGGTATTTTCATTGCAAAACCTAAGCAGATACAATTCATTTCTCGAGCTAATCTTACTAATTGATTATGTGAGCAGTAGATAGTGCTGGAATTCAATGATATGAAGAAATGAGCAAACCTTATCTTTTGCTGATAATTCGCGATCACCAATAGCACATAACCATTTCACACGTTTCAAGCCTGGTTCACGTGGAATTCCATAAAATCTCAACGCTGGACCATTTGTACGACGATACCAACCACAGAAAATACACTTTTCCATTGCTTTTGAAAGAAAGGAATATTTTATGCTTTTATGAACGAAACTTATACAAATCGATTGTTTGCTTTATAGATTAATATATAAATTTTATAGATATATACTTTATAGATATAGAAATACTTTGCAGAGAAATATGATTTATCATTATTTGATAATTTTGATGATTCAGATGAAACCACTTCAACCACCTAAAATCTCAAACAATTCGAAGGAGAAATAAATAATGAAATTCCGAATGTTGCAAGAATCATTACTGATACCATGAAAATACCTCTTTCGCTCTGCGGTGGCACTGAAGTAGTCATTTTTTCTTTTTCTTTTTTTTTAAAAAAATCATATTTCAATTTTCATAGACTCTAAAGAAGTTTAAAAACATACCAAAATTTATGCTTTCCATCAGTGCCAACGCTATATTCCAATTTAAATACCATTTAATAGACATAAAAAAAGTCGTATTTCAACTTGTATAAACATTAATTCTAGCAGTTGTCATTTTTAATAGATATTTTGATTGAATTTCATAGAGTATACTATTTCTTGTAATAATTTTACAAATATGCAATATATTAGTAATATACTAATTATCATTTAATTTCCTTTTAATTTGGTTTAAAACGAAATTATTTTAACATTTCGGTTTGGAAATATTTTTGAAAAGCATTTTTTCATACGAATTGGTCATATTGCCATTTCAAAATGACCACAGCATACAAATACCGGGAAATCATCATACTAACACAAAATTATAAATCATAACCACCAATTTAAAACTACCCAAAGCAAACAAAAAAATAAAATATTCCCAAATATCGTGACCGTACTGTAATTTTCATAAAAGAATTTTCATATTTGAATATTATTTACTTTTTTTAGCTAATTAAAATTGCCCTATTTCATTACTCATTGCTAATATATAGATAATATATGCTTATAAGCCATCAATTAGATCTGAAAATCCCAAATTTACAATATGTCTAGAAGACTCTCTCAATTCTTTGCGAATTTTATTCTGTTGAATAAATGTTGAATTAATGTTACATTATTCATGTCAATGGAATAAAATATTGGATAAAATACATAAATTTGTGATAGACACAAGATAATACAATTGCTTTCCAATGACCTATGACCTTTTATGCAATCCGAGTTATGTGTGATTGCTTTCTGATGACCTATAACCTTTTATGCGATCTAAGTTATATGAAAAGTTTCATCAGTTTAGTCATAATTATTTGATTGTACTTTTAAAACATTTCACTTTACACCGTACCTTTGATTAAATTTATTTTTCTCTCTCTTCTTCCTCTCTCCCTCTCCGCCTCTCTTCGAGCCATTACTTTCCCATCAAACTAGTACCGTTCGCACTCTTTCGATTTTTCTATATTAATAAAAGTTTTTTTCACATCAATATTTTATCTTCAATATTGTAATTATTATTTATTAATCATATTATTATTATTGTTATTATTGTTATTATTAATTATGAATGGAAACCATCTAACAATGATTGACAGTAAATGTCGAAACTTGAAAAAATTCAATACTAATTTTCACTGTAAAAAATATTTTAAATAAGAACGAAATGATTTATTCTTATTATACATTTTTCATTTATTGGTCTCTTCTTTCTTTTTTGTTTTTTTTTTTAATTTAAAATTTATACAAAAAAAGATTTCCTTTACTGTTTGCTTATCTCTTATCATCTCCGTTTACACTTATATTTTCGCATTTCTTTAGAACTAATTTCCGATTTAAAACTTTTTCGAATAAACTGATAATAATTGTCCATCATAAGGTCACACAGATTCTTTTGTCATTTTAATATCGTAATCTCTTGACAATGTCGGTTTCCTTTATGCTTTTTATTCTGTTCTCTGATTTCAATTTTTATTGTCACTGATTGGTCGAGTACTTATGCAGAGAACTGTTTCCGGAAAATCAACTAACATCCTTTACTGATTGGAATATAATTAATGTATGATCGCTACTTGTTATGTTGACGATTATGCTGGTAATTTTGAAATTCAGTAAAGAAAGTCAAAAATATATTTTCTCCGATAATATAAATATCGAGTATCTTTTATTTTCATTTTACCAATGTCATCTACAGCCTAGTATTGACCTGAAATATGCAACATTATGGAAAAAGTCGTCGTACTTCTCTTTAATGACAATTTTCCGGTTTAACTCGATTGCTTCCACATCTATGGATTCATAGATGCCAGAATGATTTCCGGGAGACTTTTTTTTTCGGGAACTCCTGAAATGAAACTTCTATTACTGAAATTATTAAAATTTCCGTTGAGTCTTCGTTGAATCTTGTGATCGCTACTCTTCGTGATCAGTAAATTAATCAGAAATTTTGTTCTTTTCCTGATTACAGATCAATAAAACGGGAGGTTTGATTACAGATCAACAGCACCTTTTCTCACTTTTAGTATCATTTCAAAATTGATTTGCAATGAACAGGTGATTCGTTTCTTCATTCTTTCTTACTCTTTCAAATGGAAACTTGATTTTATCTAAAAAATTCATTGTCTTTTCATTCCTTTCTTAAAAATGCGTCTGTTCTTCTGTTTTTTATCAAAAAAAAAATGATAGAATAAATTGATAAAATTGTCTGATTTAACTGACCAAATTAGTGTATTTGAATGATTCAACAACAAATGATGAAAAGATTATTTTTATGTTTGAGATTTGTCTAACTATTACTAATATTATTAGTGATAGTATAATTAAATTAATTATACTTCTTTATCATTTACCTTTTTCAATAGATATTTTATTTTGGCTTTTTTGGTTGCTATCGTTGCCATTATTACATTCATCGTAACACCTTCATCAGTATTTCAATGTGAACACTATAAGTAAGTTTTGAAATTTTCCAAAAAATGAGCCAAACTGGCAGATTGTGAGTAATGTGCAAAGTGAGATTGCATAATTTCAAAAAATTCAAAAAAAACATTTAAAAAGTTTGACACTTTGTCGACAAATGGAAGTAAATTGTTGAAATGTACTAATTTTTTGGGAAAATTGATGATTCATTAATTCTAATTGTTCATTTAAGTAACGCTTAAATCAGTTGTAGTGGTCGATGATAAGCTAACTTAATTTTGATTTAAGTTAGATTGGGTAAATGTTATGTAGGATATTTCAACAATTTGTTAATATCTGCAAATTAGTTTAGATTGCCGAAACCACCAAAGTTAGAAGGCGTTTTAGCAGTAAATAATATATTAACAAAAGCAGAATATCTTCTGAAGGATAAAATTTTTGGCCCAGAATCAATTATTGTGGAGAAAGGTTAGTGTTATTGAAATATTTCGAATCATTCCTTTGAGATTATCTACCAGAAACATTGCTAATCCAAAATTTCTTTCTTTGATCTTTGATTTTTTGCTATACTTTTACTCAAAATACACCTTAATAGCACTGTTATTATCACTGTTATCATCATTGTTATCACTGTTATCATTAGGCTCATTCTTCTTTATTGTTATCTAATTCCATTTCTAGATAAAATTGTGACAGGGATGCAAAATGGAAAGATAATTTCGGCAGAATCTGGAGTTATTCGGAAAAGTCTTACATTTGGGTCGGTCAATCTCGATCTCTGCGGTTATTTTTACTTCTTTTAGAGAAAAGTTTAGATCGTAAGTAAACTCCCAACTTGTAGATTTTAACATTTAAGACAAAAATGAGGTAATTAGCAGAGTGGCGACGTGATAAAAAATTAAAAATTGAAAATTTTATACATTCCGAACATTTGTTTTCTAAATTTTACTTTTGCATTTGAATCAAACTTATAAACTTTTACTTTTCTCAGGTAAAATTTTCTAACAAATGACCCATTTGTTAAGATGGTCGATTCGATATGGAACCGAAATGTGGTCGACCGTTAGGTCTTCGTCGATTAAATGCTGAAACTATTTTGGCCATTGATACTTATTTTGGTATTTTCTCCGTCAATTTTGAAAAAGGTAAGAATTTGCGATTGTCACGTGATTTTTTACGGAATTCTCTTTGAGTTCGGTCATTACTACGTATGTACGCTATAAAAGGTTACGTTGAATATGACGTTCTTCTGACAGAATTTCAAACTAAATTGTTCTTTTAAGTGATTTAAACATTTCTATAAAATTTCGATAATTTTAAATAAAATCTGAGCACGAAATAATCATTCTAATGGTAAAAATATCCTACGCATGTGGAATCAAATTAAAAAAAAATTTTAATAAATTTTTAATGGAAATTTCTTAATAGATTTTTAATAGATGAAAATTTTTAATTTTTTTTTTTTTAAGATAAAAAAAAAGTTTTAATAGATGGCTCAATTTATAATCGATAGAATGCCTAGTGCGAAGGTATTGTGCGTTATAAGCTATTAATTTAATGATTAGAAAAGTAAATTTAGTTGTTTTTTATGGAATTAACTAGGATTATGTAAGATAAAAGAATGTCAAATATAATTAGTTTAAGGTTTAAGGACAACGTATGGTAATATTAGGGAATCAGACGGAAGTAAATGGTAAACCAATGAAATTTCTGAACGATATTGACGTGGTTGATCGGGACGTACTGATATTTACGGATTCTTCCAGCAAGTGGGATCGACGCCATTTCATGAATATTCTCTTAGAGGGTATTCCTAATGGAAGGTAATTACCATTAAATTAACTGATGGAAAGTTTGAGGTAGTAGTAAACCTTATTTAATAATAATGTAATAAGTAAAAAATATTGGCAAAGATTTTTGTTTTTCATTTGTAGAGAATGAAGTAAACAAATGGCAATCTCTAAATTAAAATAAAATTAAAAGTTAGAATTGGAAGTAAAAGTACAAAATTGAGTTAGAAATTTCCTAAATTAAAGGATAAAAGAGTAACTTAATTGCTTCCAAATATACAGTATATTATTTCTTTTTTCTCAAACAAAAAGATCAGAATTCTAGAACAAAAACAATGAATAATGCTTCTTATACAGAGTTTTGCGCCTAACACGATCAACTGGAAAAATTGAAGTCATTATGGATAAATTATATTTTCCGAACGGTATTCAGCTATTTCCTGACAAACAGTCATTTCTGGTTTCGGAAACAGGCGCTGCTCGGATTAAAAGATAAACATTTTTTAAATTATGATTTCAACTAGCATTTATGAGGGGCAATGTGATTTAATTGTTAACAACTAAAGGAGTAGAAATCGTCAGTTACCATCTTTATTTATTCCTTTTTTTTTTTTTTGTTTTTTGCTGGCAAACATTTAAAGTAGTCGACGATAGTATTTAAAGGTATGAAACCTGTATTTGTAATGATATGAGGACACTCTCTTCGTCCAGGTGACATGCAAATATTTGCAGGCATTGGATTGCAGGCCCACGAATGGGTGAAACGGAAATCTTCATTGATAATCTACCTGGTTTACCGGATAATATACGCTTAGGTAGTAATGGAACATTTTGGATAGGTTTGGGAGCTGTGCGTCACAGTGATCAGTTCTCAATGTTGGATTTTCTCGCTGATAAACCATACATAAGGAAATGTATTCTTCAGGTAAAAGCTGTAGATTTGTTGATAAATAAAGGTTTCAAATTGAAATAGTTGAAATTCAGGTAAATCTGTTCTTCTCAGTGATACCGCAAAAAGTTTATTTATATTTTCTACATTTAGTAGATTAAGAACGGTTAATAACTAAAGTTTCATTTAGTTGGTACCGGAACGACAATGGGAATGGCTAATGTCAATATTCGCTACAAAGCATGCGTTGATTTTGCAACTTAATGAAAAAGGCCAAATAGTAGCAAGCGCTCACGATCCAATGGGCCAAATAATTAAAGAAGTGTCACAGGTGACAGAAGCCAATGAATACCTTTATTTAGGTAGTTACCGCTCTCCATTTATTGCTCGGCTCCGGAAGGATCAAATCATTTACTGAAATATCTATGAATCTTTATGCAAACTTCAAGTCAGGCTACCAGTTTTTTCCGTCTTCCGTGATAAAACGGAATTTTGTAAATAACAGATCGACCCAATACGTCCTAGTAGATATATGGAATCTATTACACGGTAATAGCGTTATTTTAACTTTTGATACTAAAATTTAATAAAAAATCCCCATTTTTCCGTTCGTAATAAATCAGAATTCTGTAGATAAATCAGAATTTTCATTTCGTTTATTACAGACCTTACTATTTTCTTTCTTTTTCCTACATTGTTTATTTCTGCAGGATGAGATATTCTTCTGGTTGATTATATATAAAGGACAACACCAAAAAGTAAAGAATAAGTTTAAGTTAAACAGTAAAGTTCAATGCAGTTCACGGATACAAATAGTTAAGATTCAACAGTATTTCAATATTTTTAGTTCTGAGTGCTGACATTTCTTTTTTACAAAAGAAAAGAAGAGCGGGAAATACTCAGGAAATTAACAGTGCAGAATGAAACTTTATATTTCATATTAGTATATTACCTTTTTTTTTTCATTGCAAAAATAAAGAATGCCAAGTTTAAACAGCAAAATTAAATACAATTACGGATTTGATAAGGTTAATTCCAGAAAAAGTTTACAAACACAGATGAGCACAAAAAGGTAGGTCCTTAAAATTGATAAATTAATTAAACATACGCAAAAATTCCACTTTTTACAATTCAGAACTGATAACAACAATGAGCACCACGTGAGCCATTATAGAATAATCATTCACAGTCACCGCATCATAATTATTAGTTCAAAATAGGAAGCAGCAACGATTAGCGCCCATTAGAAAGATATGTTGAAAAAAAGATAATGCACTGCAGAGGAAGTCCGAACAGAGAAAAGTCTCTGAAAAATTTAAAGCACAGCCTAGAAACAAGTGTATTTCGAAAAATTACATCCCTAACTATTTCTTTTCAAATTACAACGAACCGAAGCATTCGAAGTCATCGATACAAATTATGCCTCGTTTTAGAGATCAAATATGGAAAATTTAATGCAAATGGTAGACAGATACCATAAACGACAATTACATATATACACCTAAATACAATATTTACTATACATAAATACCTAAATATAATATTTATTATACAATTAAAAAGAATGATGATATCTTTGAACAAAAGTCATACTTTCATAGCAAGCACTGGTAAAAAATACCAACAAAAGATAACTGAGAAGAATAGCTCAGTAGAACACCGTTTTTGTCCGATTTCTTGATTTTGACTTTTTCGACTTTCGAGACTTTCTGCTGCTTGCCCAATCTTCATCATCGTCCGCTCCCGTATGATGTGAATCCTCCTGAAACCAAATCTTCCAAACTTATGTCTTTTAGCCTTCTTTTCTAAGCAGTCTTTCTAATTACTATTTGTAGATTAAAACCTTACTGCTAGGAAAATTTCGGAATAATTCTCCTTAGTATCTATTATTTGACGATTGATCATAATTCATCATCTGATCCATCAATTCGAATTATAGATCATTCATTGCGCCGCATCCTTTTGTACTGATGCAACTGATACAGTGCAGATAAATTCCAAGAAGCACTTTGTAAAAAACTAGTTAATGGCAACTATGATAAAAAGTCTTTTGGACAAGCTCAAAGTTTTCAGAAATATGTAATCACTACTTAGCACTATTTCAAAATTTAACCGAACACAATCAGCTCAAGTAATTATACTTCTCCAATAAAGCTGCTACACTGAAACAATGATAAGGTTGATAGATTGCTTGTGATAGCTTACATCAGAGTGATCCATATCGCTGTCTCGACCAGAATATTCACGTAAGCGACCTTCTGAAAGCGAATTCTTCATGGAAGTGGTGTAGTTCATTGCTTGATTTATGCGACGTTTTGCAACTCTGAAGAAACGAAATTATACAAGTTGCTTCAATTTGACTTATTTCCAGAACTAATATAAAATTTTAGTTTCCTATAACCATACGTTTTACTTGTATGCGTCGTTGTTTGCCACACATTCGGAATATAGCTAAAAGCTGTTTAATAATAGTATAATCAGCCACGGTATAAAGAAATATAAAGAGATATTTCTGAAGGAGATTTTCCAATGCTGAATCTCATATAAAAGTTCTGTTGCACAAACAGGATGGAAACAAAAAGCACCAACGTACAGAAAACAATTACACACGAAACTAATTCTCATCCTATTTAAAACATATAAATGCATTATCCCATTCTTTATAATTTCCAACCTTTCAAAAATTAATTGCAGTTTTTAAATAACTTATGGTCAACAATAATTCTTTATAAATATATCAGATTCGATATAGTGATACATCGACATACAATTTAAAATAGTAATATTGTTCGATAAGATATTACAGTAACTATACTGTTTTACTCTTTATTAATTATAATGAGCACAGACCGCGAGCTACTTCGTCCCATTCCCATGCATTTCTCAAGATGCGGAGCGAAACGACATGCTGCGATAGGTCGTTTGCATTCATCGCATATAACGTCCATATTTTTTTGATGTTTCGTTTGTGAGATTAATGTACTGCCAAAAATATCATATTCACCCACTATAGTAGGTTCATTTTGCATATCTGAAATAAAAAAGAACAATGCACATAGAAAGTTATATTAATTAAATGAAGAAGGCAAAATACTAATTATTTCCCATCACATGGCTATTTATTTCAGATGTATTATTATTTACACTAAAACTAAAAGTACAAATTCAAAAGAAAAAGAACACAAAATATTGCTTTTCTCGGAAATGTAGTTGAAAATTAAAGGCGAGTTTTTATCTTTCATTCAATTTAATGAGTTTTCTGTTTCTTTCTATTGGAAATAGTTAAAACCAACCAACTGGTGGTGGTAGCACAGCATTTGTAATTTTAGCAATTCGATGAACTTTGAAACAAGGCTCCAACAATACTGTTCCTAATAAATAATCGAATACCTGTTCGCTCATTTCTGCAAGATTAGCCATAAATATTTGTTGAAAAGAAGCACAATTTCCGAACATCCCTAATCATAAAACGATTACAACAAGGCTATGTAAATCATATTTTCCTCTTCTTTTCAGCAAAATCATTCAATTCAGTCATGTGACAACCGATAAATTGCATTCACTCCAAATTACCTATAATACCAACAATTAGGTTATTCCGCTTAATTCTGTCAAATAAAATTCCATCACTAATAATTTTCGTTTACTCCTAAAGAAAGAGAAAAAGCATTAACCATTGATATCAGCGACACTTTGTACAATTCCTTCGTCGCCTTTACCGTCAACCATCGATGTTATTTGTTCAAATCCATATTTAGCAATAAACGAATCATTGATCTGTGCCTGAAATCAAATGAAATCAAGAAAAATGTATATGTGAACAATTCTAATTGACAACAGCCGAGCCAATTTTTCGACCTCGACTCTCCCATACAAATAACATCACACATACACAAACATACATACATGCACACATACACATACAGGCATGCATGTGTGTAACACAACATCACAACCGACGAACGCCTCCACTCCTTTTCCAACACAACAACACGTGAAATACTTCATCCCACTTCTGGCAACCAAACATCGTTAGGCCACAATGATGGTGATTTTATTGATATGAATTTTGTTTGATGCATTCACTTTAGTATTTCTTGCTATGTTCCAAAATAATCAGTGGGATACGCACCAATCGATAGTGCCATTCTTCGGCGTTACTCTACCTCACCTGTTGGTGACAACGTTTGATGTCATCGGATGCGGAAGTTATGGAATGAAAGATGACTATTTGATGTGTCGCATTGTGCGCCAAATTGTAACTTCAAAAGAATGCGCTAAATAATACAATCGAATTACAAATTGCTGGGCAAAATAGTGGTATAAATAAGTCGAGCACGCAGAAACTAGCTATTAGATTGAGCGATATCGGAACTTTTCCGGATTGTAAGTAATCCGAATGTGTCTTTTTTTCGGTACTATAATGTCCTTTGAATGTCAAGTTTAATTTGTAGCAAAATTTCATTTAAATTTTAGCAAAATTTAATTCTGGTCAGTAATCGGATCTGCGAACAAATGAATAAGGAAATACATGCTATACTTATTACTAAATGTATTTCTGTTATGAGAAGCTATCAATGTTTATAAATTATGATACATGTAGGAATAGGTAATATAAAAAAAAAAATGTGAAAGACAGTATAAGTCGAATTTCTATGAATGTAATTAATCGTTGAGTTAATTCATATCCTTTCTGAGCTAGAACGGATAGTAGTAATTCATATATTTGATCCTAAAAAAAAAAAAATCTCCCATAATTGACCAAAGATTTTGAAGATTTCATGAGCAACAATCTTGAAACATCAGATCAGATCAGAAGTGTATACTTCTGTTATGTACTTATGTTCAGTTTAAACTTTATCCCACAATTATAGCTACATTTTCCACAGAAAACTTTAATTCAACTTAATTTGTGATTCAAATATTCCAAAATAAAGGTGATGTTATAGGTGAATGGAACTGGATCGCTATCAAAATGAGCCAATGTTATGGATGGATCAGAACTGGTACCCAAATAATCCATTGCCATGGAATTAGCAACTACCATACAACTTACCTAATTGATCATTATCTCACATTACTCGATAACTTCATTTTGCCGCACTAGTTTACTAATAAATTCATTGTTACAGTATTAATTATCAGTCACAAATGACTCATTAAATGTGCATCGTACAGTGATAAAATTGAAATTTTTATTCCAAATAATCGTTAATACTATCATCTTTCATAAATAAAGTGTCATCAAAACTTTTGGGTAGCATTTATACTATTAATTTGACATTTGACTCAAATTGTAGGAACCGTAAATCCGTAATAATAACCTTTTGCAACTCTCTCCCTCTCCCTCTCTCTCTCTCTCTCTCTCTCATATTTCATTTATGATTTTTGATCATTCTGTGCAAATATATGTTAAGAATTATTATGAGTAAAAAACTAAATGGGTCTACCTGTCATTTTCACGTGCATTAATATTGGGATGTTGCAGCGTTGTTATTTGCATGATAACTTGAAGGTGTCAGAGCAGTAAGAAAGAAAGAATAAATTGTGGCTGAAGAGACAAAGACAGGTAAATTAGATTAAATTGTTTTCATTTCTTTCTTTAACAATTATTTCTCAGGTAAATGACACCTTTCTTGTTTGTTTCATTTTTTTTAATTTTGTATGAGTTTGCGAAATTTTTTGTTATCCTTTTTTTTTTAATTTCCAAATGTCACTTTGTTGATATTATGTACGATTTTGCAGTTCTTATTCATTTCATTTATTTTGGCATTGAGATTTTTTTAAAATGAATATACTGATGTTTTCGTCTTTCGTTTTTTTTTTTACTTTTTTTAAAGAAATTTTATGTACTTTTTGAAAATCGTACTTTGCAATAAAAATGAAACACATTCATCCATTTCTTTGATTTTTCTGTAGAAATTTCTTTTTTTTTCCCTTTTTTTATAAAAATTTAAATAGTTTAAATAAATCTTTAACCTTCGGCAACTCAAATGTAGGAAAAAAGTTTCTTTCAAAAATTCGTTTATGATTTTTTTATTTTCTCGAAAAGCTAATTAGTTGACCTTTGAAAAAAGTTACTCTTTCTTTTTTCTTTTTTTCCTTTGCTCACATTCACATAATTTATTGTAAAAATAAAGCGAAATTCACTATCATTTCGACTTGTTTATATTTTCGCCTTTTGATATAAAAACACACCAATGAACATTTTTATAAATTTACCCTTTTTTTTTGCAATTTCTTGAGTAATTCATTAAAATTAGTGATAGTGACGTATGATTCAGTATTGTCGCTGAGTTTGTAGTTCACTGTACTTTTGTTATGCATACCGTTGTGATACCTTACCCATTATTTATTCCCATGGGCAAATGCTAACAAACAAGCATTACCATTCTATCCGGAAAAACGTTTTTCTTGAATGTAAATTATTTGAGTGTCATATTTGGAATTTTTCTACTATCTGAACAGTCTTCCATTTTGTCTCTCTTTTTTCATTCCCAAATTAATTTATTGGTATTATCAGTTAGAGTGACCAAGAAATCAATAATTTTGCTTTCTTTGATCAGAAATATCGAATACGACCAAAAAAAAAACTTTTAAATTACGATTTTTTCTTTTCTTTTTCAATGCTTTATTGTTAATTAATATATAGAAAAATGATTAGTATATTTCTTATCAAATTTACACAGAAAAATCACAAATCTGTGTATTTTGTAAAAATGTCAAAAATCAAAAAAGCATTTTTGAACCGAAAAAAAAAATAAACATTGTTGCAGAAGTTGAAATTATATTAAATGAAAATAAAAATTAGATATCATAAAAGTTTTGAGAAAGCTAAAAAACATTTAAATTTGTTGAGAAAGGTAGAAAGGTAGCGAAGTAAGTAAATCATATTACTATGAGTTTTGAGCTTTCTTCAGCTAACCTTTCTATATACTTTTCATTTTTTCCTGCTTCTCTTCAGTTTTTCACTTTTTTACTTTTATGTTTTTCGATTAGAACTAGAATTTGTTCAATTGGTGTCCAATCAATTTAACAAACTAACCTTGTCACCTCACTTCCTTTGTCAAATGAAAAAATACTACGGGAAGCTGTAATGATAGTTTCGTAACGGTGTCACTATCTTGAAAAGTTTTACTAAAATTTTAAACATTTACTAATTTTGCAAATTTTAATAGATTTTAATTTTAAAAAACATTTCTTAATTTCTTATCCATGTTTCATTTAGAGTTTCCTTTAATTTGCCCGAAATATATTTTAATTGGTTGACCTTCGCTTCCTTTTTTTTTCATTTGTTTTTTCGTTGTTCGCGTTCGCATAATTTTTTAATGCGAATTTTTTTTACTGTAATTAGCAATTTCGTTTCATATTGAAATTTTGAATTAATAACTTTTGAAAATGTGAAAAAAAAAGAAATTTGTAGAGATGGAAGTAAACACTTTTTCGAGAATAATAAAAAAATATGGTTGTTATTACTTTTTTTAGTGATTCCAGGAATGGAAATGTTTATTCTTTCCTATTTTCGGTAGCAAAGAGAGAATGAAAGCGGGAAGAAGAAAGGGAGAGAGAGAGAGAGGAGGGAGAGAAGAGTGGAAGAGAGGAGAGAGAAAGGTTATTTGAAAATCTGAATACAACAAGGGAATCTCTCACACAATACAATTTATAAAGACTATTTATTTTAGCACATAAATGTTCTTTTGCTCAATCTTTGTATTTCTCAACAAATTTGCTTTTATAAATTGAGCTTTTATGTTATCACAAAAACTCATTCAACCACTTTTTTCCTTTTTGTCAAATATTATCACAAGATTCAGTGAGAAAAAAAGAAAAATAACAAATTCTATAATTTTGTGTTGGGTTACTTTTGCTAAATTAAAATTTGAATTCAGCGCTTAATTTAGTTTGATTCTTGGATATTACAAATAGAAAATTAGTTAATAATCTCAAACAACGATAGGTAAATGCAATGGACGGAAAAGTAATATGCAAGGATATATTATCGTTTTGAAATTAAATCAGAAATTAAGAATTGATTGATCGATCGATGAACGGCAAGGAAAACTGTAAAATTTGCAAGCATTTAGTACAAAGATAAAGCAATTTAGTGTTATAAAAAAAAGAGAAAAAAAATGAACAAATAATCTTCAATAAAAATCAGAAAAAATGAAAATTTGAAATTCTCTCTTTAGAAATTAATGGGAAATTAGAAAATTGAGGACAAATACACAGATTGCCCTCTTCCCATTACTGTTTAATTTCTCATTTAAGAGAGAGAGAGAGAGAGAAAAGCTATGATTAATGATGGAAGTTTTCAACAACGAACTGAAAGCGATCGGTAAATCGAAATGCGGTAAAATTGTCGGGAATCTCAGTGAGAGCCCTCATACCGTGTAATTTACAGGGATGACTGTTCAGTACAACTTGGATGTGTCAACTTCTCGGCCTTGGACCTTATTCAAACTTTTATTCCGGTGGCGCGGAAGTATTTGGAAATCAGTGACTCTCGAATTATTTGTTTGGTTGTTGTTATTTGCCGTAATATCATTGATATACCGCGTTGCTTTAAGCAATGAACAAGTTAGGTACATTACATACAATTCTGCAAATAGAAATAATCGCAAAAGAATTTCAAATTTTAATTTCAGTTATTTAAAATAGTATTTTCAGAAAAATGCACACAAAAATCTGAAATTCCTTTTTGACTGTTATATTTACTTATAAGTTTCTAC